TACCAACTATATGGGAGAATATGATCTATCATTTAACAGGTATTAAACCTCTAGGATACTACCAACTATATGGGAGAATATGATCTATCATTTAACAGGTATTAAACCTCTAGGATACTACCAACTATATCGGAGAATATGATCAATCATTTAACAGGTATTAAAACACTAGGATACTACTAGAATTCTACCAACTATACGGGATAATTTATCATAATTGATCTCCATTTATAAAATCTATTTTACATGATAAGTTCCAATATGCTTTCACAATATTACATAGGAATATAATCTAATCACAATATTTAGTTAGTCTAGTTGCAGTATAAGTTTACGGAGTTAAGGATGAATGCAGCTAGATCTTTAAACATTGTACAACTATACATATATATAGGCAGTTCAAACAGCGTTTATTACAAATGGGGGGAGAGTGGTGAAAAATAGGTTTATAAATCGCGATTTTTCGACATTCAAGACACGTTAATTAAATACTTATTGTACAATTTTCTTTACTCATTTTTACTTTGACATGATCTTCAGGAACTTGCTTCCATTCCTAACATCTTTGTCTGGTAACCAATTTATAAATCTGCCTGTAATAACCCAGCATGATTCATGGTGTACAGGGCTGCATACAAGAACATTGACAGACTTAAATTCTTGTCCAGATACATAGTCAGAATACCCTCTGAGAACCTCAAGTCACTCTTCTCTAGGCTTATCCCATGATATTTCCTTTGAAACATTCTGGCAAATTATCTTGGGAATATTCTGGTATTTTGGAGCAGGTTCCCTTTTCCTTGGGAACCTCCTTGCACTGCATAGAGGTCACTTCATCACTATGGAAACTCTTGCAGACAGGATTGTTTACCAGGCTGTATTCTCAAACCTTCTCTTTCTATGGAACTTGTCTATATTGCTGGACATTGTCAACCTTGCACTGGTTATCAGTCTCAATGTCTCACTCCTTCTTATAAGTGAACTTCTACACCAACTTCTGCATGCTATTGCACTCCTTCTTGGGGTTCTCATAGGACTGGTTCCTTAACAACACCTGACACAGTTTCTTCTGTACCAGCTGCATATTCATTTACTCTCTGATTCTCTGGAGCCAGATTGACTTTCGTACCGTCTTAACTGTGCCTGTATTACTGCCCATTTGTTCTAGGTACAGCTGTGGAATTTACATACACATCTGTTGTTTCATTTTTGAATTTCACTTCTACAGCTGGCTGGGTTGGTTTTCTTGAATAGTTCTACGTATCATTTGCATTGATCTTTTTTCTTATCTTTTACTACTTTCTTTAACCAAATTGATATCACAGAAATCAAACAATTTCAAAAATTGCATTGCATGATCTTATTTTTTTGTTAAAAGCAGATAAATTTAATCTTAAATCTAAATCTCAACTTTGAAAATAAAAAAATTTAAAAATTTGGTGTTATTTACTTAGAACGAAACAAACATTCTTTTAAATTTGATAATTTAAAATCTTGAAATAGATGTGTCAATAATTTTGAGTTAAAGCATTTTAATTTGTTTTAACATTTAATTCAATATTATATTGAACCTTCGAATGTTTAAACTTGCTGGCCGCTGATTACTATTTTCATATTTGTTTACGAACAAATCTTATATATGTGATGCAGGTTGGATGAGAAGGTTAATTACTCTCGATGCGCTCCAATTTACAGAAAATGTTGTTTCATAAGATAGATAGATAAAAACCTCATTTGACATCACTGATGATGGCTTTGCTTAGAAGACAGCATTTTCTGTACACTGAAGCGCATTGAGAGTAACCGGCCAGCCTTATTATACCAGCTTAGGTATGCTACAAAATTTTTACTCCGTTAAGTTCCCCCATCTGAGAACATAACAAGCTAACCACTGAAAATTGTACTGTCTTCATGTTTGTTTACAAACAAATCTAATATTTGTACTGCAGGTTGGATGAGAAGAGTGTTGATGACAACGGAAAACCAAAATCTACCTCATCTTTCCACACATCTCCCAAAGCAGGTTTGGACAATTTATCTTTTCAGCTTTTTTAGATATTTAGACAGATGGATTGTGAATAGAGACATTTAGACAGGATTGGATTGTGAAAAGAAATATTTAGACAGATGGATTGTGAGAAGAGATATTTAGACAGGATTGGATTGTGAGAAGAGATATTTAGACAGGATTCGATTGTGAAAAAAGATATTTAGACATGATTGGATTGTGAGAAGAGATATTTAGACAGGATTGGATTGTGAAAAAAGATATTTAGACAGGATTTGATTGTGAAAAGAAATATTTAGACAGATGGATTGTGAATAGAGATATTTAGACAGGATTGGATTGTGAAAAGAGATATTTAGACAGGATTTGATTGTGAAAAGAAATATTTAGACAGATGGATTGTGAATAGAGATATTTAGACAGGATTGAATTGTGAGAAGAGATATTTAGACAAAATTTGATTGTGATAAGAGATATATAGACAGGATTGGATTGTGAGAAGAGATATTTAGACAGGATTGGATTGTGATAAGAAATATTTAGACAGGATTGGATTGTGAATAGAAATAAATATAAAGGATTTGATTGTGAGAAGAGATATTTAGACAGGATTGGATTGTGAAAAGAGATATTTAGACAGGATTGGATTGTGATAAGAAATATTTAGACAGGATTGGATTGTCAAAAGAGATGTTTAGACAGGATTGGATTGTGATAAGAGATATTTATACAGGATTGGATTGTGATAAGAGATATTTAGACAGGATTGGATTGTGATAAGAGATTAGTGCATTCAGATTTTTTCAATTCGTTCTTTTATTTCGTTCTTTTTTATTTCTTCTGTAAAAATTTGATTACGTTTGTTTTTAGAATTAATGTTAATTTTCCTTCTATTTCGCTTGTTTTCTAACTGAACGATCTTTTAATTCAATTATCTATTCAGTTAGATCGTTTACTTAATAAATAGTTGGTTTAATAAAAATTAACATCTTTTTTCTAATTTTCGTTTTTTCTTCGTTTTTCTTTTTCCTGCTTATCTGAAAAACAATCATATTTTTATTTCTCTTAAAGTTCTAATTTATTTGTTTATCTTTAATTCAACATGCTGAACAACAACATCGTTCACAAGTTTCGTTTGTTCACGAAAACGATCCTCGTCTCCAGAGGAGTAATCAATTTTGTGGGGAGTAATCTAATTATGTAAAATACTTTTAAACTTCAATTTAACATAAACATGAACAATGTGTAACTTTTTTTCTCTCAGTCAAAGTTCCTTTTATTCTAATTATGTCTTTGTTGTTTGGGGGGTGTGGGTTTCATTAGCTCATCCCATTCTTTGCATGCATTGATTTAGACTTATACTAGAAAAGCTGAGATTTCATTCTTTTCTGCAACTTTTCCTTTTTTGCTTTCCTATCTTTCAATAAATTGCTAGAAAATCTTATAATAAAAAGTAAGCATGCTATTATATATTGAAACGGTGTTGGTAGCTTAGCATTTTATATTATTGTCATTCAACAGAAGACCACTGAAAACAATTGTAATTTGATACCACCAATCAGAATACTTTGAGCCATCAACATGTTAATTGCAAGTTTGAAATTTAAGTTTTTCTCATCCTTCTTATCCTTTTCATCCTCATAATACTTCTCATCCTTATCATCCTTCTTATCCTCATCATCCTTATCATATCCGTATCATCCTTCTCATCTTTCTCTTCTTCCCATCCTTTCTCAACGTTTGCATCGTTTGTATCCTTCTCATCCTTCTCATCCTTTTTATCCTTTTCATCCTACTAATCCTTTTAATCCTTCTCATCCTTCTCATTCAACTCATCTTTTTCATCCCTTCCATCCTTATCATCTTTTCATCCTTCTCATCCTTCTCCTCCTTCTTATCCTTCTTATCTTTTCTTATCCTTTTTATCTTTCTAATTTTGTCATTATTTTCTTACTTCTAACTAAGTAAATTTTAAAATAATTGATTTACTTCCTCTAAAATTGTTTAAACTAGGTGTACCATGTCCTGGAGGGGAACATGGTTCATATGAAACACTCACAGGGAAAAAGTTATGTTGGCTCAAATCTGAACAGCTTCAATCATTGTATAACTCTGGAAAGGCTCCTTTGAATCAAAAATCACCGCCATACCGCGACAGTAAGTCATATTTTTCACTTATGTTAAAAAGTTTTTCTCTTTAACCCTTTTTGGCTTGGGGGGGGGGGTTCAATTTAACGCCCGCTATTGTTTTTTGCAATAACTCAAAAAGTATTTTAGCCAGGAAGCTTAAATTTTCTGGCTTTTTAAACTAATCCATAACTCTCACTTAAAGTTAAAAGCTTGGTTTTACACTTACTGCCTGAGTCCTCAGGTATTCTGCCTAAATGCCTATTTTTAACTATACCCAAAGAGAATAGAATATATATTAGAGTGGAATTTAGTCAATCCTTCGGTATGAATTTTGTCAGTCCCTTTTAGCCTGAAAGGGAGTTCAAAGTGTACAAATCATGTAAATGTTCACAAATTATATGCAATAGAGTACATTAATACAGTATGTTCCCTAGACTATCCATTTCAATTTCGAATTTTTTAATGCTGTTAAATAAACTTAATAAAATAAATTAGGTGAATAAAAAACATCATTTGATTTATAGTTGTAAGGGAAAGTGAAGTGAAAGGCATAGAGTCTATTTGAAATGACAATTGCTCAATTAGGAAACCAGCATATTTCATATATTGGTTTTCTTTTAATATTAATTTTAGATTTGCTATAAAATGATGTTCTAGGGCCCAAAAGGTTAAATTGCGCAAATATGTGAAGTACACATGCAGTATGGAAACAGTACAACAAAATGGCCGTTTTACACTTTTTTCTAGTAAATTCCACTCTAATATATATTCTATTCTCTTTGCCTATACCAGACCAAATCACCTATTTTCAGTTATTGGATTTCAACATTTTATTGCCTTTTTAAAGCCTATAACAAAGCCAAACAGATTGGCCAATTTTGGCAAAGAATTTTTTTGGATAGACGCATTTAAAAGGGAATTTGCACATTTTCAGTTTTTCTTGCATATACATTTAGGTTTTGCAAATATTTTTGCACATTTGAATTATCTGGGTCTAAGACTTTTCCCAAATTTATAATTTGTTGCAATTTGTGCACTTTTTTGAGTCACAAATCTACTTAACATGTCACAATCATTGTACTCTTTCTCCTCGTCCCAAAGATCATTGTATACTCCTTCTCCTGTTTCTGCAGGTTGACCGTCTTGTCTCAGCCGGGAACCCCTAGTTCCTCGGATTCCTAAGTGAATGGTTGGTCGGTATTCCCGACTCTCCTAGGGCCCCACTTGGCGTGGGGCTAAAAATAGCTTGAACTCTATAGAGTAGAAGAATAGGGATAAATATTTTAGCAAACTATTTACACCACCAAAAGATAAAAGATCACAACAATATCCGTTACAGTATAAGTCGCAAAGTACAAAAGTTTCTAGAAAATAACCAGGAAATAAAAACTTTGGTAAAAAAGTCCCAATTTTTTTAAATTCTAGGTCAAAATGCCACTCTGGAAATAAAGTCCTGAGTTTTGGATTCATAGTTTTTTTCCCCTATAATAATAAAGTGTCAGTAAATAAGATCACAGGAAAGTCTGGAAAAAATATATCCAAAGAAAAAAACATTTTTTCTTGGGATTTTTTTTGTTTAAAATCAAACTGGAACCAGAAAAAAATTCCTAGAAAATAAAGTCTTGATATGGTAAGACTTGATTTCCAATGACTTTTTATTTCAAGGCCATTTTCCCACAGGACTTTTTAAGTACCAAAATTAAGCCCTTATTTTTCGAAAACTTTTTTTCGGAGAATTTTTTTGGTGGTGGTCATATATATACCCTTTACATCGTTTTGGTAACTCACATGTCCCAAATATTTTATTATGGGCTTATAACAAAAAATCGTAAAATTGGTGACAAAGTCCAGAGAATTTCTCAGAAACATTCTATTGAAATTCTCAGGAATTTTTGCAGAATAAATTCCTGAGAAATTCTCAGGAATTTCTCGAGACTTTGTCAGTTCCCCAAAAATTCTGTGAAATTGGTGACCAAGTCCTGAGAATTTCTCAGGAATTTCCGGAGAAATATTTGGTAGAATTTCTCGAGACTATGTTTTTGAATTAGTTCCCCAAAAAATCCGTAAAATTGGTGACCAAGTGCAGAGAATTCATCAGGAATTACAGGAGAAATTCTTATGAAAAATTCCAGAGAAAGTCTCAGAAATTTCCGGAGAAATTTTTTGAAAAATTCTCTTATCCCTTAAAAATCTCTAAAAATAGGGACCAATTCCAGAGAATTTCTCAAGAATTTCTGAGGAGTCAGTCACAAGAACTTGTTCTCAAGAAATTCATCAGAAACTCCTCAAAGCAAGTCACCAAAACTGGAGAACTTGAAGAAATTTCTCACTTTTGTTACCTGGGAAGAGGAAAACAGGAATAGGCTCCTTACTTGCAAAAAAGGGCGACATAGATCGACTGTTGGATTATGGGACAGAGGAAATATAGTCAAGTACTGACAGGAACTACCTACTAGTTAGGACTATAGTGGATAAATATGCTTAGCGCACATGTTTGATTAATTTACTCATGACGTTCATCTTAAAGCTGTTGGAAGCATATTTTGTTAAACACAAGAACAAGCCATAGATATTATTATACGAATTTGGTGTATTATTAAGCACAACAAGCAAAAAATGCTGTTTTTTACTTCAAATCCTGAAAACAGTGATTTTCAAAAATATTTTTCGACAGTGGAGCTAGCCTACTTGTACACCCCCACCCCAGCCCTTCAACATCAAATTTTGCCCCACACACCTTACAAAAGTGCTTCATTGCAATTCCTGATTAACCATCTTGCGTGGAATTTACCAAGCCAAATAGTGCCAACAAGTCTTTATGTCTATAGTCTGAGATCCCAGCCCTGTGCTAAGGAACCGATTTCAAATGTGACTATGTTCTTTTTGTGAGAGCATATGTGAGATGTTTTGCTGCTTTAATGTTGATAGTGTTCACAAAGTTATCAATAATACACTGATTTATGTTGATAAAATAAGGATACATTCTTGATCTGCAGTCAAAGGTTTGGTATTGTTGTGAATCTGATTTGTCACTCTACAGCTGGAGCTAGGGTCACTTGAAGCTAAACCTTACAATTGATTTATTTTTTAGGAGCGACTAGATTGGAAATATGCGCAACTCTTGGTCTAAATTGGAGAACCTTTGAGATCGAAACCTTTGATGAGTTCATGTGGTTTTCTACAAGAATGACCGGTAAATAAAAATGAATTGCCAACGTTACTGGTGAAAGGGTGAAGGATTTTCTCTGCTTTTTTCAGCGGAAAATTGGAGAAAATCCTTCCTCCCCTCTCATGGGCAACATTTTCACATCATCTTCTGCCAATCATCAGTTACATCATGTGAGGATTGTGAGTGTCGATTGCTATGAAGATGACATTTAATATGTAATATTAGTGGCAATCAAAAGCGTTTTTTTATCGCATGAAGCCTATACCCCCTTTCATTTTTCGCGAACACTCCCTTTAAAAATTAACTTTTTAGATTATTTGTGATTGCATAATGCAAAATAAATAATCATTTCAGATTTTCTGCATAATACATACTCATTTCAGATTTTAATAAAGTTTTCTTACAGGTCCAGGATGGTTAGCAAAAAGAAATTATTCTGGTAAGTCATTTTTTCAGCTTTTTCACTCCATTTTAAGATTAGGATATATTATGGGAAAAGTTTATATTTTCAAGGTGGACCATGTCGTCATTTTATAAAATGCAATGAAGAAAAGACAGGTTCAATTTCCAATAAACAGAACTATTATTATAGTGTTCCACTTTACCTATCAAATACAAGTTCACATAGTTGAAAATACGAATACCTAACACTTTATTGCAGTGAGGAATGTTTTGGTAATATTTTTACAAGGAAAGATTACACTCTGGTTTGTTTGTAATATACCCAACTTACCAAAAAACATTGTTGAAATGGAAAACAGTTTGTTCAAAATTACAAACGAAACTTTGGCAGATTTTTTTTTATTAAATTTGGCGAATTTCGAACCAGCCATAAAACTTTCCTTGGTTTATGAGTCGTTTAATTGATTATTGGACACAAACACAGTGAAGCCAAACATATTGATACAAGTATTTACATTCACTAGGCTTTTTTTATTAACAATTAACTTTAAACAGTTGCTCTGAAAGTCGCCATTTTTAGTCATTTTAAAATGTTTGCGGATTTTCAAAAATATTAAATATTGACTTTTTCAGGCAATTTATTCAATGTTGTCGCATAGTTGCCACAACATACAGCAATTATATAAATAAAAAAGAAGACGACTTTTGGTTTCAATTTTGATTTAAATCAAGCTGTTAAATAGCATGGATACACAATTAATCATAGAAGTCAAGAAAAGTTATCAATTAAAAAAGCTTCTCTTTGATTGCTTGTAGACTTGTAATTCGAAAAGAACGTTGTTAATAATCACAACTTAAATAAAATTTCGTCTTCATTGTATTGATATAATACCTTGCCATTGTATATGTTTTTAACGTTTAATTGAATGCAAACAGACAAGCAGACTAGTCAAATATACTATATATACAATATACATACTAGTGAATGATGAAATTTGTTTTTAAAAACACTTTACATTTTTAGATATAAGCATTTTTGAGGGTATCTGGATGGATGGTAAGTCTATGGAAAAAAACATTGCTTAAGAAGTACCTTGCAGTTCAGTTTGTCCCCGTTAATATGCCACTATAACCATTATACAAATTCTAATATTTTATTTTTTTACTAGTTGCATTGCAAGCAATTGAAATAAAATAACATAGAAATGCGGAAATTGTTTATTCAAAATATAGTAATAAAGAGGGGTTCCAAATTTTTGTTCAATTTTTTTTTGCATGATTTTTTTTCAGTTAACGACAATGGGTATAAAAACGAAAATTTTCATTCACTTTTTGGAAAATTTGCAAACTTTCGTTTAAAATTCTATTTTTTCCACAAACATTTTTAATTTTTGTTGAAAACAAAATCTCAAATCTTTTGACAACCCATTTTCGTGAAATTTGAACCTAATTTCATAAACATTTTAAAAAGATATTTTGAATTTTCGATAAAAAAACGTTACAATAGTTACAAAAGACTTCATTGATTGGAGTCAAAGTTCAAAGAAATGTCAAGTCAAATTATGGACTGTTCTATACAAAAAAAGGTTTTAATTAGAGGTAAGGATAACATTTAATTTTTTTTTTGAAAGAGATTGATATTGACATTTGTATTTACTGTCACGCTTTTTAATGTTGGAAATAATTTATTTGAATTAAATGAAAGTGATTCAGAAACATTAGTCATGAGATTTGTGACCAAACCCGACACTCGAATGTGGGAGGCTTGAAATATAATCCCATTTTGTACTTGATTTTAATGTAGATATCTTTATTACTTTCCATTTAAATGAATTTTAGTTTATTAATTGGTGTTCTTATATTCTGTAGCTATTTTAACCCGGAAAAAAGACCGTCTTCACTCTTGACTCATTGATGTCATCCCTCTTGACTCATTGATGTCATCCCACTTGACTCATTGTTTTCTTTAGTGCGATGGGATGGAACCAGATATGTCTGGGACAGATCTGGAAAACCTCTGACCAACCGAAAACTTCCAACAATGTAAGAATATTTTAATTGATGAATATTTGAGGAAAGCTTGGGGAAGATATTTATCAGATTGTTAGTTTCTCAAAGTTAATTCTTTTCATTAAAGGAAAGTTGTTAAATATTGCAAGATGACAGTAGTCTGTTCACAAGGAATTTTACTTTAAAATGTTAGGGTGCACAAAGATTATGGTTATCCAATATCCTTTATCCTGTATCCTATATGTTTCTAGAAATCAACTGAAAACATTTTTGAGAGTTTCATGTTTACACGTATTGTGTTTTAAATGCAAGGTAAAACCATATCAGTGTTTTTCAATATAACTAACATTCGTTTATACTAATTTTTAGTAGGAGTAACTTTCAAAAGAACTGCAGTCAGGCGCATACACAGGATTTTGCTGTTATTTTATTTAATGTCCCCTTTGTAGTCCCTTGTTGTCTTTCCCTTTAATTTCCCCCTTTCCAACTCCCCTAATGGTGTCCCCCCCCCCCCAAGAAGACTTGCTAAATACTTGCATAATTCATATAGCTAAAATTGTTCATCAAGTTACTGTAGTTAAAGAAATTTAAAAAGAAGGGGGGGGGGGGGGAGAATTTAGATGAAATGTAAATAATAATAAATTATTTAAAAATAAATGTCTCAAAAAGCACCAAGAAAATTAGTTAAATACTTTTTTCGGGAAAACACCACTTTAAGAAGATGGGGCAAGCTCATTGTTTACCTACTACACCTGATTTTAACCTATGTTCAGAGGAAAGTAGGCCCCCCTGTTCCCCTAGGATGCAATGGGAAGGGGGTTGGGGCAAGAGGACTATTGCCCTCCACCTTGTTGTACGCTACTGACTGGACTGTAGTCTAGTTAATATAAAAAATACGTACTCTTAATTCTTAACTTTGACTTTGTAACACACAAAATCATGATACGCTACGCAAGAACAAACTAGGGTGCAAACAAAATTACTTTAGGCATCGATCCCTGATCCATGCTGGTGATTGTACCCCGACTGATGCAGTTTATGGATGCCCTACACCAACAGTTATAACTGCAGGAGCCTATACCTGCAGAACAAGACCAGTAAGCTTTAAAAAGTCTAAAATGTTTGGTGAGACTAGAGATTACAGTTAGGTACACGATCCCCCCCCCCCTTTTCAGAAAAATGTAGATTAACGTATAACTAGATGTTGTTGGTTGAATTGCTTAAACTGTTAAAAAAAGTTCAGGAAGATTATTAATTTTATATTCTTTAAATTAAATAATTAAAAAGCCATATACAATTACGACTTTTAAAGTATAATTTGTTTGAGGTATAAAGGCTGTTTTGTTATTATTTCTATTCCATTCCATATTCTATAAATTTCTCTCTAATCTCTAGTAAATTAAAGTTAAAAACTTTTGCTTTTTTAGAATATTTTTTTTATTAACCAATTTTCAAATTTTAAGTTAACAAAAGAAATGTGTTAACAAAAAATCCTTTAAACATAACTTGACACAGAATTCTTATAAATATTTTTTTATTTTACCAGATAAAGACGCAAACTCTGGACTTCTTCAAACAAGCAATCGGAGGTTGGAACCGGAACATGGACGGACAGGGTCCAACCTACTCAAACTGCAATGGAGAATGGTCAAGGGATATTGGTGCACCATTTTTTGAGTAAGTTTTTTAAGCCTCTTTTTAACATTTTTTTGTCTTTATTTTTTTATACATAATAAGGTGTATTCTATGTCGGTAGTTTCATATACATGGTAAGGTTTATTCTATTCCGTCCTGTATCATACTTTTTTGGCGCTTTTGGAAAGAAATAAAAAAAACGTCGCTGTTTTCTACTTCATTGCGTTATGCAAAGTGTGTTGTAAGAAAGGGAGGGAAGGCGGATTGACAATCAAACCCATAGAAAAGTCTCTGAAACCCACAGGCGCGCAACAAGACATTCAGCAAGGGGGGGGGGAGGGTCAATTGCAAATAGTAAGCAAATAGCGCAACATTTTTTTTGTTGCCCCACAAACAAAATGTGTATTATAATCAACAATTAAAAACTGAAAAATATGCACCGTAATTTCGGGTCATGGTTTACGTACGGAAATGATCCGGAAATTTTTTTCCTTTCCATTGTGGTTAAGGTTCAGGAAATCCGGAATTCCGGAACGATTTTTTCCCCGTAAACCGGAAATTTCTGGAACGTTTATACAGAATATGGAACGTTCCGGAATTACGGAACGTTCTGGAATATTGTCCCAGAAAATTCCGGTTTACGGAAAAAAAATTCCATAATTTTCTAGGAAAAGGTTCCGGAAAACGTTAAAGACATCTTTAACTTATGTAAAAGATAAAACCAGTGTAATACTATCTACATGCATAATAACAGAATGTGCACCTGGTTTAGCTCTAGTCTAAGTAATACTACTGTGCATTATCATAAAATATAAATCCTGACTGCCATGTCTCAAAATAATTTCAGCTACAGAAAACTGAGGAAAGGAAGAGGCAATTCTTAAGTCTATTTGATGTTGTTACGAAGCAAATAGGTTAAATACTAAATAGTAAATTATAAAATTACTTTTAAATTGGTCTGTATACAGTATAGTATACAGACCAATACAGTATACAGTATAGTATACAGTATAGTATAGTATAGTATACAGTATACAGTATACAGTATAGTATACAGTATAGTATACAGTATAGTATACAGTATAGTATACAGTATAGTATAGTATAGTATACAGTATAGTATACATTATAGTATACAGTATAGTATAGTATAGTATACAGTATAGTATAGTATAGTATACAGTATAGTATAGTATACAGTACAGTATAGTATACAGTATACAGTATACAGTATACAGTATAGTATAGTATACAGTATACAGTATACAGTATAACAAGGGTGGGGGTGGGGTCTCTCTAAAAACAGACGGTAGTTGGGGTAGTGAGGGTAGTTGCCATTCAGATTCACCTTCAAAGGTAGGGGTGGGTTCTCTCTAAAACAGACGGTAGTTGGGGAAGTAAGGGTAGTTGCCATTCAGATTTACCTCCAAGGGTGGGGGTGGGGTCTCTCTAAAAACAGACGGTAGTTGGGGTAATAAGGGTAGTTCCCATTCAGATTCACCTTCAAGGCTCTAAAAACAGATGGTAGTTGGGGTAGTGAGGGTAGTTACCATTAAGATTTATCTTCAAGGGTGGGGATGGGGTCTTCTCTCTGAAAACACACGGTAGTTTGGGTAGTGAGGGTAGTTGCCATTCAGATTCAGCTTCAAAGGTGGGGGTGGGGTCTCTCTAAAAACACAGTGGTCCGCAGGAAAAGTGGAAAATTAAGACGACATTTGTAAATAAAAAAACGGTGGTCCGCAAAAAAAAGTGGAAAATGAAGAGGACATTTGTAACTAAAAAATACAGTGGTCTGCAGAAAAAATGGAAAACGAAGACGACATATGTAAATAAAAATACAGTGGTCCACAGAAAAAAGTGGAAAATGAAGACAACATTTTTTAAATAAAAAATACAGTGGTCCGCAGAAAAAGTTGAAAACAAAGACAACATTTGTAAATAAAAAGAATTCAGTGTGCAAAAAAAGTGGAAAACGAAGACGTAATTTTTAAAAATTGGTCCGGAGAGAAAAAGTTGGAAACAAAGAAGACATTTGTAAATATAAAATACAGTGGTCATTAGTAAAAAGTGGAAAACGAAGACGACATTTGTTAAAAATGCATTGGTCCCCAGAAAAAAAATAAAAAATGAAGACAACATTTGTTAAAATGCAGTGGTCTCCAGAAAAAAATGGAAAACGAAGACGACATTTAATAGAAAATACAGTGTTCTGCAGAGAAATGTGGAAAACGAAGACGACATTTGAAAAAAAAACACACTACCTTACCGTCTGTTTATAGAGAGACCCCACCTCCACCTTTGAAGAATCTACCCTCACTACCCCAACTACCGTCTGTTTTTTGGAGAGACCCCTCCCCCACCCTGGAAGCAGAATCTGACAGTATTTGGGGTAGGGCTGGGCACGGTCCGACTTTTTTGAAATTGTTCCGTTCCGTTCTAGAACGAGGGCCTTCAGCTAAATCGTTCCGTTCTCATTCCTCTTTTTTATCGTTCCGTTCTCGTTCTGTTCTGTTCCGTTCTGAGTAGAAGAACGGTCTTCCTGTACCATTCCGTTCTTGGCGTTCTTAGTTGAAGAACAGTTGCATCCCTCTTGTTCTGTTCTTAATCAAGAACGTTTCCATCCCGCGTTCCGTTCTTAGAAACGAACAATTACATCCAAGACAAAATTTTTATTAAAAAGAGTTGTTTAAAAAGTAAAAAAATTACGACTTTTTAATTAAAAGTTTTTGACGGTAAATAATAATATTTTAAATTTAGAGTTAAAAGAATAATCTTAGATAATTTCAGGGCTGAGCAATGTATAATTTTGTGAGATCGTTCTTGATTGTTATGTTTGTTCTTGGGAAAGAACGATCGTTCCACCAGGAACGCGCCCAGCCCTAAATTGGGGTACTTGGGTTTAACTACCCTCACTACCCCAACTACCATGTGTTTTTAGAGAGACCCCACCCCCACCCTTGAAGCTAAATCTTAATGGCAACTACCCTCACTACTCCAAATACCATGTGTTTTTAGAGAGACCCCACCCCCACCCTTGAAGCTAAATCTTAATGGTAACTACCCTAACTACCCCAACTACTGTGTGTTTTTAGAGAGACCCCACACCCACCCTTGAAGTTAAATCTTAATGGCATCTACCCTCACTACCCCAACTACCGTCTGGTTTTAGAGAGACCTCACCCCCACCCTTGAAGCTTAATTTTAATGGCAACTACCCTCCCACCCCAACTACAATGTGTATTTAGAGAGACCCCAACCCCACCCTTAAAGGTGAATCTGAATGGCTACTAACCTTACTACCCCAACTACCTTCAGTTGTTAAAGAGACCCCATCCCCACTCTTACTATGGGTTTATTCTATGTGCATAGTATACAATATGGGTATTGATTCCCTTAAATCAATTTTTTCAGCTTGTTTCTGAAATTATTAAAACTCTCCGACCTCTGTTATCTGCACTACCCCTCTTCTGAGGGGTACACAGTTCAAAGTTGAAAAACGGGGTTTTTATACTTACTGAATATTGTCAGTCCCTTTAATATTAATGTTAAAGATAATAATTGAGATCTAGACAACTCTGAATGAAAATAATAATGTATTTAAACAGCCTTAATTTTAAAAGGTTGAAAAGCCTTGGCCTTTGATTTGAACTCACCAACTAAATTATACTTAAAATTCGGTGATGGTGATGGACCAAACCTCTCTAGAGTAAAAAAGTAAATGTTAGTTCCACATTTTTTGAAAATATATTTTGGTCTGGGTTGACCCTCGTCAGTTCTAACGATATAATAACCATCAAAATCGGTAAAAAAAAAATTTATTTTGTAAAAAATCACAAGAAAATAAACAAACAAAAAAGATTATTTAAAATAAAAATTTGGGCTGTCAAATGGACATACAAACTCAGATTATGAGATGGAAAAAAGACAAGTTGCAAATATTCACTTTTAAAAAGAATGTTTTAAGACAATTATTATTCCTTGAGATTGTTTCTGTCACAAAGGTTAAAAACAAACTATTTAGATGTATGTGTAAATCGGGGGGTGGGGGAGGGGGGGACGGCTTGTTTAAGGAGGGAAATTTAAACCTTGGAATTGGACATAAACAACTCTTTTTTTTAATTATACTTTTTTTAGCCTTGGACATATACATTTAAAGTCGCAATTCACTTTTCTTTCAATCAAATTAGAAAGTAGTCAATTGTAAAGTACTGCAGAATTTTTGGGTTGTTCCCAAATTCACTGTGCCTCTTTCCTAGGTTTGTTCCTTTTAATGGTTGGCAAGCTACTGGACTACTTGATATAACTGACGGTTTAGGTTTACGACTGCAATATTATGATATTAATGTAAGTTACCTTCATCACTTTTATAAGCATTCTTTTTTCACGAGTAGAAAGTACTTTTAACCCTATCCTTGCTGGGGTACTTGAAAACCAGGATACGCTGGGGGGGGGGGGTCAATTTGACCCCCCCTCTAAATCCCATGTTTTATGTCCAAATATGACAAATGATACATCATTAGAAAGCTCTTGTGCTCTACTTTTAGAATCTGCAAAAACCCCCCCCCAGCAGGAATAGGGTTAAGGTAATAGAAATATTTTTATTTTTAGAATTACTATGATCAAATAGCATATCAAAACCACGAGGAAATAGCTTGAAATTTGCCTTTATTTGCCTTTCTTTATTTGCTATTTCAAAAGTTCATTTAAGTACAATAAAACCCTTAATAACGAATACATCGGAATAATTTATCAAATGTTGTCTAGACAATTTTTCAATGAGTTTTATACTATATTACGTAATTTTCAGTATTTGTGAAAATAAATAAATAGCCATGAATATGCGGGAACAGTTTTAAAGAGTTCCATATAATCATATAATTAAAAAACTAAATATCTGCAACATTCCAATATCAGAAAGTGAAGAATACGACATTTAATGAATTCTTTGGATGTATTCGTTATTAAGGGTTTCACTGTATTGCACAGCAAAATGTGTAATTTGATTTGTCACCATAATGTATCAATATGTTCTTATTATATACAATATGTTCTTTTTATTTACAAGATCTCAATCCAAACACTGTCGAGTCTCACATTCCTCACAAGGATTTCTGATTTAAAAACGCACTTGTTTAATGATTTCTCTCTTTATGAGGAAGTTGAGCCCAACATTCCTTGATATATTTCTGTTCTGACGCACTTACACTGCTATAAAACATTTACTATTATTTTATAAGAAAGGAAAAGTGTATTTCTAAGGTACCAGGTCATTTCCATCCACAGTTCCTAGAAAATTTCCAGTCCAGTCTATGATATTTCCAGTCCTTGCATTCAGTAACCTGAAAATAAAGCATTTAATGCATTAAATCATCATGATTATTTGGAATTATGTTTTCAGTCCCCCTGATTTTTAAAGGAAACTCCAGAAGAAATTACTGATGGAGCTGGTGATAATGGAAAAGCTTGGATGGTACGAGAAGGATCAGGGCTTCTGAAGATGAATATGTTCGGGTAAATCAGATTACATATTTAAAAAAATCTAGACATATACAATATACAACTTTAAAAGTGTATTACATGAAGAGGAAAATAGTTTTTAAAATTGAAAAAGTCTTACTGACCTCCATTATGATCAGAAAAATTACAAAATGCAAATATCCTCCTTTCTGGGGTTTAATATTTCTTTACCCTAATTCATCTAGTTGTCCTTTTATATTTTAGAATATGTAGACATCCGAATGCCGGTCATTCTGCTTTTGATGTGATGAACGCAGCGGTAATTTTTTGTTTGTTAGACCAAGTTAGGCATTTTTTTTCATTTTTAACTGTATTCAATATGCCGAGAAATTCTTTTAATCTGCGCATTTTTATTGTGTAGAATTGTGCTACTAAACTTATGTAAAGCTTGCCTTGATTTGATTTAATCCTCTCTTCCCATCTTGCAACAACAACAATAAATTTTATGGTGTTTTTAAGATAAAATTTTTGTAATTTCTTAGCCAATAATCTTTTGTTCTTTTTTGTCATTGCCATTTTAATACTTTCTCGGTTCGGCTTTTTTTGTATAAGAAAGCTTTTTTCTTTTAGATATGGCTATTCTCAAGGTTATAGTGCAAGGAAAGTTATTTTAGAGGTTTATGTATATTTTGTATAGCGCAAAAATAATAGAACATCAAATGCCAAATGAGCAAAAATCTTTAAATGATCACAAAATGTATGCTAAACAGTTAGGACAACTTTTTCAAAAATATCATACAATTTTACAATAAAGTTAAGTTATAAAAATCTCTTTAAGGTATTCTTAAAGAGATTTTTATGATAAAACGTCTGTAAAATGCAAACTCTCTCTTTCATTTTTCTTCTTTCTCTTCTCTTCTATTTTCTACTCTTCTCTTCTATTTATCTTCTTTTCTCTTTTCTTCTCTTCTTTTTTCTTCTCTTCTCTTTTTTTCTTTTTTTCTTCTATTTTTTTTCTTTTCTTCTCTTCTCGACTCTTCTGTTCTCTTATCTCTTTTCTTCTCTTCCTTTATCTTTTATCGTCTCCTCTTTGTTTACTCTTTGTTGTTGACATTTAATCGATTTTGAGATCAACAATGCAGTACGATACAATGTTATGATTTTTCTCTGATTTGTTTACATTTCTAGTTTGTAGACCTAATTAAACTTACTGCATTTGTACTCCATAATTAGGCATTTGATCATTTGGCATTTGATATTCTGATATTTTTGCGTCACATCCTGACATGGGATCCATCCATAGAGAATAGAATATATATTAGAGGGGAATTTAAAGAATCTCTCAGTATGAATTTTTTCAGCCCCTTTCAGCCTGAAAAGGAGTTCAAAGTGTACAAATCATGTAAATGTTCACAAATTATATGCAGTAGAGTACATTAATACAGTATGTTCCCTAGACTATTCATTTCAATTTAGAATTTTTTAAAGCTGTTAAATAAACTTTATAAAGAATTAGGTGAATAAAAATCATCATTTGATTAATAGTTATAACGGAAAATCATCGTTTGTAAAGTGAAAGGCATAGAGTCTATGTGAAATGATCATTGGTCAATTATGAAACCAGCCTATTTCATAATTTGGTTTTCTTTTAACATTAATTTTAGATTTTCTATAAAATGATATTCCAGGGCCCAAAAGGTTATATAGCATAAGTATGTGAAGTACACCTGCAGTATGGAAACAGTACAACAAAATGGCCGTTTTACACTTTTTTTCTAGTAAATTCCCCTCTAATGTATATTCTATTCTCTTTGGATCCATCTTTCACATTAAAAATCAATGAAATATTATGGTCTTATAGGAAACTTTTATGTGAATTATCAACATTTTCAAAATTCAATGCTTTTATCCTCCTCGGATACTAAACGAAACGAACACTGATGCATCTATTCTTGTTTATAAATTCCACCTGGAGAAAACTGGTTTCAATATGAACGCAGAGTATACGCAACTGCAGTTAACTTTCCTTGCATTATAAGTTATGCTTTCTTTACAAAATAACTATGCTTTTACGGTATTTACTTTCTAATTCTTAATTGTGGCTCTATATTTAAGCATTTTCTCTTGTACAATAAAAACAGGAACAAAAGTTTTGTGGATTTAAGAATATTTTTTTGTGGATTTTTAAAATAAAAAATTTTGAGACACTTTTAGTAAATTGAGCATCCCTACGCAAAACTTGGCCCTGAAGGGTTCAGCTGTTTTAACGTTTATTGGATACAAACAGACAGACAAGCAAAGTTGATATTTAGATAGATTATATTTTTTACATTTAATTATTAATGTCCCATATTAAATGCTGAAAATATAATTTTTTCACATATTACTTATGAATGGCAATATTTTTCATCCCTTGTTAATTTTTTCACAACTAACATTAACATATGATTAATACTTTTCTAATCCATTTTTCAAGAGTCTAAATTTTGATCTGATAGCTTCAACAATAAAAAACAATGTTTTATTATAGTGGGAATATGCACTAGCGTTTTATTCCAACTTTCCTGCCTGTCGTTGGGATACTACTTCGGGATCGAAAACTGGATTGATATGTGAAAAGCTAGGTGCATTTTATTTATATGTATGTCGTAAGTTTAGAAAACTTTCTGTTGTTTAAAAAGTCTAAACTTTTTCAAAACTCTACAGATATCACAACTTTGTTAACCCAGTCTCTGTTGGGGTACTTGATAACCAGGTTAGGCTTGGAATTTGACCCCCCCCCCCCTCTAAATCCCATGTTTGATGTCCAAATATGACAAATGATACATCATTGGAAAGCTCTTATCCTCAAATTTTCGAATCTGCAAAAAAAATTTTTCAAATTTGAACAAATTTAATTTTTATTTGCAAAATCCAGTTTTAAATTAAAAATGTTTTAAAAAATGTGTAATTAAGAAAAACTGAAAATGTGCAAATTTCTTGTGATGGGTTGTATAAAAATAGTTTGCAGAAATTTCTTTGCAAAACTTATGCAATCCGTTTAAGCTAAAATTTATCAAGATATGATATCTAAAAGTGGTTCAAAACAAAGATTTAGTTTGTTACAGGAAAAAGTAGTCATTCAGGCAATTTGGCTTAGGCTCAGGCAGTTAGTATAAAAGCCTGTTTTTGACTTTAGTAAAAATTGAGCCCCCCCCCCCCCCCCCCCCGGCAGGAATAGGGTAAAAGAATTTTCATTTTTAATTATTTGTTTCTAAAGAATTGGTTAATTTAGATTAAAAAAAAAAATTTCAAAAATTATTTTTAGCTTCTGGGCCTCCCGGACCTGTGTATGCAGAATTTATGTATACAAAAGTTGAATTAACAAATTGCCTTGTACCTATTCCTACTAACATGAGGTGATATAAAAATATTGAGCATATTAACTAAATTCAACTATTATTTGATATTTGGAATTTTGTGAAAACAATAGTAAACCTAAAACCCTGATTAAAAACTGAAATTTTACTTTCCTAGCTGAGCTTTTTCGACGCATTTTTATAAAGTTGATGTTTCATAATAATTTTTTTCAATTGATTTTTCGCTTTTATTTTGTTTTCATGGCTGGCACTGGATTTTCTAACATTCCTGGAAAATATAAAAAGGTCGTCTTCATTATCAAAAACCTCGAAACAGGCATGAATGTTTTCTAAAGTAACTCTCGAGTCATAAAAAATTAAAAATATTATGAAACATCAACTTTATACAAATGTGTAGAAAAAAAATCATTGATTACAGGTTGTAATAGTTGAATGATTTGTTTGGAATTACATTGATTTTTTACGATCCGAGTTAAATATTGCAACTTTCTGAATTTGTATGGACACTACGTTCTTTGGTATGAGTCTTTTTAACAATTTTCTCGTTATAGACACAACAGAATCCCCATTGAATATTTTTTGACGTAAACCTTTACCCCCTTTAATTTTTAGAGAACACTCCCTTTAACGTGATGTTAAATGATTTACTTTTTATCAAGTAAGATTTGCGGCCACCTACCAACTGTGCAGTTTCACCCTTTAACATTTATATGCCCTTTAAACCAACTATTCATTTGTATCTATAAATTCAAACCATCTTTCAATTTTGTTTTTTTTAAAACCAAATGGTGAGGTATCAAGACACACATTTTTAGAGTAAATTAAATAGATATCCTGATATGATTGTGGACGGGAGTGGTAATCCATATAAGACCAATAATAACAATTTTTGGTACAACTGCCAGAAACCTAAAGGATATGTAAGTACACGATTATTAATTTTATATTTTGTAAATAAAATTGTTATACTGCGGACTATCAAATTTGATAAAACTAAGCTTTTAAGATTTTTTTTGGGACATTCATCTTAGATAGAAATTTAATCTTTGCTTTTAAGAACTTTGATCTTTAATTACTTAGAATAGAATTCGACCCGATCAAGAAGTTTTAAAGATGTTTTAATAAAACCACATGAGGTTAATTATTTAAATGGTTTGATTCATGGTTATAACTGGAAAGAAGTTTTCCCATATTAAATAATAAGGCACAAATCCTTAACCCTATAAAGGCTGAGGGGTCTAAATCTATGTATAGCATGGGAGAGGGGGGGGGGCATTCAATGTCCTTATAATGAATTCTGATATAATTAATAGAATTTAAATATTCAGTATAGCAAATATATCCATCAAATGAATTCTAAAACTCTGCCTGGTGGACTGGCTAATATTAGACTCTCCTTCAACTATTATTGCAGTAAGTTCAATTTTTTTAGAAGCAGCATTTCTTTTAATGTTTTTAAATAACACCAAGCAATACTAAACTAAAATATGTGGATGAATATCCAGTGTTGTTTTTTAGTCAAATACATAAATATTTTAAAACTTGAAATTTTAACTTTATGTTGGCATTCTTGTATCCTAAATAAAGTCTTTGCATCATGTTCTCTAAACATGTGTTGTTGTAGCCAATGTAAGTGTTTCCATTTGCAAAACTTTTGTGCAATTTTTGCAAAAGAAAGTGCAAATTTTTTGCGCAGTTGTTCTCAAATTTTGATTAGCCCAAAATTGCGCTTTTCCGCTTTTGCATTATTCAGTTTTGGGCAAATTCTCATTAAAAGGTTGATTAAATGTGTAAACTGTATAAATTACTTATCTATGAGATTGCTTTTTTTGGAATATAATTGCAATGCTTAAAAAAACGGATTACTTGCCTAAAACTTTATTTTGCAACCTGATGCATGATGTGCACGCAAAAATCGAGCAGTATTGTCCAACTACTCCTTTTTAAACCTAAGCTCTTTGCTAGATTGCAACTCTAGTCAAAATCTTGTGACATGGGATTGAACCTCACTTTCATAACTAGTGACGCTAATCACTTCATTCACAAAGCCATGGATCTCTCTCTAATCTCTTTACATGTCAGCAGTATTTGCGTATCAGACAGTTTGGAAAGCATTTATACCTTTCCAAAACAGTTGATTTAAGTCCTACATCAATTTTCTTTGACATTTTTATTATAAGCAACACTCAAAATATATAAACATTTATAGATGGTGTGGATAAAAATAACTGTAATATGACAGTGTATCAGGAACAGATTGGGCCTACTTTTTATAAAAGGTTTGATTTAACTTAATAGAACAAACTTATCCCCCACCCCCCAGGAAAAGGATGCTTGATAAAAATTTGTCAAATTTAGACATTCATTAAGACATTCATTTTTCTAAATTTCTCTCAAGAAAAAATAATGTTGAAGGTTTGTTTGAGCTGCTTTTGATGTCTGATTTACATTTTTTCTAACAATTGACAATATGACATATATTTCAGACTGTGGTTGGTAATAAATAAAAAGTTAAATCCTTTTATTTTCTTTGATGCTCTTAGATTATAATAAGAAATTTTGCAGAGCAATTACAAGGTCTGCTTAAGGTTCATTAATATCCCCCCCCCCCCATGATTTGCCAAAAGAAAATCAAAAAATTATATTTTGAACGTTCAACAAACATTCATCAATTTAGATCAGAAATAAAGATTCATTTTGAATTTATTATAGACCAAAATAAACGAAAATTTTATTTGATAAAGAGTTAACCTGTTAACCCTGGAGAATGAGGACAAGAGTCCAGACTGGAAATATTTCTCAATAATGCTTCCACCCAGCCCAGTAGACTTTAAGGTAGTAAATATGTTTTTAATGGTTTTTTATTTTTACCATTATTTGTCATGATTTTCTATATTTACTCATCATTTAAAGTTTTTCTTAGAGATTATAAAACATGAAAGATTTTTTTAATTTTTTTAGATTGTACTTCTTGGTGAGATTGGACAAATTGATGGTGGACTTGGTATTGATAACTTTGTTTTTAGTACTCAACAAAAATGCAATCCAAGGTGTGTACATTTTGGGTGGATTTCTAAGTTTTGAGACACAACAATTGCTTATGAAATTATTTTCAAATCCAAAATATGATTATTTAGTTGGCATTCTGTAACTGGATATGAATTCATCACTGACCTTTCTTATTATGAGGAGAACTTTCCTAGGTAATGTTTAACATAGATTCATAATTTTAAATAAGTCTTAATTTGTTTTTCATTTTGTTTATGTTCCTGGTTTTCCAAAGAACTTTATTGTACCAAAAATCTGAATATATCATCCTCCCATGTGTCACCTCTTATTTATGCTTCTTCTACTTCCCTTTCTTATTTTTCTCAATCTATTGTTTGATTTCCTATAATTTTTTTAAAACATCGTTATTTATTTTGGTCTCATTAGTTTTTTAGTTAAAACAATTTTTTTAGCTTAATTGAGATTTCTTTAACAAAAGTTTTTTACTAACGTTATTGATTTGAGGAACTCCTCCATTTTGAATCAAATATAAAACTCCTGAATACTTAGGAAGGAAAGCTTTACTGGAGGTGGAATCAACTTAGATGATCTGAAAAATAGATATAAAGTTGTAGTTGTTCCTGGGATCAAATCTGTAGAACAATGTTCAAGGTATGAGAATTTTTACAATGTTTTTGTTAGCTGCCCTTCTCTATTAAAAAATGGGAGTTTGAGGCCAATTTCTTAGGACTTGAATATTTTAAAGACTGGTAAAGTGATAATCAAATAAATTCCAGCCAAGACAATTTTGTTTTAAAAACATAATGAAAAAAGTTCCTGGAAAACAGGCTTATTGATACACTGAATTAATTACTAAAAAAAAATAAAGAGAATGGGTTCAATTAATGGTTATTCAATGCATATACATTTTAGGTTCTGCGGTCTTGGAACCCAATGTGATATGTTTAACTTTGATCCAACAACAATGAAATGTTCATATTTTCCTCATGCTGCTTTGAAACCAAGAAATCTGATGGAAGTTATTCAATTATCAGCAAGCCCAACAAGCAAAATATATTTCATGGAATGCAGTCAATCCATGGAATTAAATCTTATTGCTCAGTCAGATCCGACTACTAGCAATCTACGGGATTATGAAATATCTCACACCTGCACCTCAAATTATCGACTTGGAGTAGCAGTTGAATTAACTGAACCACAATTTTTAAAATCTTCTATGGCAGGTTACCAAAGTTTACCAACTGCTTTTTGTAATGGTCCGTTCCAGTTTAGTAGAGATAAATCACTTTCGATTGTTGACCTGGAGAATCTTGGGTTTACTCAAGACTATATATCCAAGATAAAACCTGCTGCTGTGACATCACATTACACTTGGGTTAAACCTAATGCTTTAAATAATTGTAAAGTTAATACAAGTTCTGATCTTAATTCATGTATAATACAAGGTTTAACATCAACGAAATTTGACTTAACCCTCCTAGTTGATGGCATTTCACTAAAATCCCAAAGTCTAAGCATTCCTAGAACAACACGAAACAATCAGTGTAATCAAGTTCTTGGAACTTGTGGGGGTAACACATTTGATTTTGTTGCTGTTATTGGAATTAAAGAGTTTCCAGTTGGAGATGTAGTTCTCAAAGCAACTGCAAGCACAGAAGAAGCTCTTGGGTTAGGACTAGTCTCAGGGGGCACAGAACTCTTAATTGACAGTCCTTTCATGATTGGATGTTTCTCACTTCTAAACAATCTTGTTGGAGAAACTACTTCAAGTGCATCAACGGCAAAGGAATGTATAGTGGCTTGTGTTGATAAATTAAAAAGATTTGCTGCTATATCTGGAGGGACCTGCAACTGTTTTGAAGAATTTCCCAGTCATTCTGTTTTACCTGACCAGGTTAGATTAAATAAAAGGCATGAAGGGAAAATATTAATTGTCAAATGAATAAGATAGTTTGCAAATAAAATGAGTTTGCAACAGTTATGTTAATGGTGTAATGCAGGAAGAAATATGTCAATACTATAACAGTCCCTTATATATAATTAAATATATCTATCCCAGACATTATTGATTCCCTTTTCCCCACTTTAAGAGATTGAATGAACGGTCAGTACTTTCACAACCTTGATAGCAGATCTTTAGAATCTATTCTCTGCTTTGGGGCCAGGCTTCTAAAGTACCATAATCAATACCAAATGACTATAAAGAATACCAAACCATAAGAAATAAGAATGACAAGTTAGTGTAACTTTATTAATGATATAACTGCATCCCTGCCAAATAATTACATGGCTAGTGATGCAAGTGACATAGATGATGAACTGTTGATCTTTGAAGATACCATGGAGATAATTACAGCTCCTTATGATTGTACAGATCCTATAGAGATCATTACCACCCCTGCTTCAGATGATGACTGGGACAAACTTGGTGTTAATCCTCCTGCACTGGCTGCTGATGAAAAATGGAGGAGTCTGGAGATGAAGGAATTCAAGAGTCGAATAAAGGAGAACCTGAGAAGGAAAGTTGAGGGCCTCAAGAAGTAGATCTTGTGGACATTGATGGGGTGATGGAGGAGTTTACGGAGGTCTGGAATAACCTCAGACTGAAGCATGGATGGAGGACTGATAAAAGAAGTGATTGAGAACTGGAAGAAGGTCAAGGGTAGGATGGAGGTGGTCTGGCAGGAGCTCCAGCAGGTGATAATATAAGCCTTCAAGGAACACTGAAGAGGAGACAAAGCTGAAGGAGGAGTTGGTCTTGGTGACATACATGGGTTTTGTAGTGGCACAAAGGATAGAGATAGTAAAACTGCTTGCCATTGAAGGGGAGTTCCATCCAGAAGACCTATAAATAAAAATATTATTAATTAAATCATTAAACCTTGTTAATATGCTTTAATAAAAGGAATATGTTGCTTGTTGTTTTATTACTAGTTATATAAGATGAACAGAGTTTTGTTGGTCATGTTAAATAAATCTCGGAATACACAACATTAACATAAATGTTAGGGTGGATTAAGAAATCAACTGATATTTCATCTATAATTGTATTTCAAACCTGTATTATTGTAGAATTGTAAAACTCGCTGTGAAAAAAACAGCCAGGAACTCTGTGGGGGAGCATCTTCTTTTTCATTCTATGTTGCAAGTAAGTTAATTTTATTATATGATTTATCAAAAAGGTAACATTACTTTCATTTCTAATACATTATTTCTTCTTTTTGCTAAACTATAAAAATTTAAATATTCGATATTGCTTAAGAGTTAAAAGTAAATAAATAAAAAAATATTAATAATAATGATATATAACAGAACTTGTGTAAATAAACAGGCAGAATACATTTTTAATGGTCATTATGAAGCACTTAGTAATAAGGATTTTACCTTGTATTTAATTGCTGTTATTATTTTGTGTTCTTTATTTTTAAATGGTTACAAAGTAGAGTAGAATTTTATTTTGAAGGTTGTGAGGCTGGCTGGACTAGGTATGGGGATGGTTGCTACAAAAATATTGGAGATTTAAACTTCATCAAAGGTTCAGACACTTGCAGGAATGAATTTGCGGAGATTTATACTCCAGTTACAAGAGAGGAAGCATACTGGGTGGCGGATGCTTTTGGGTAATGTACTTTATGAATATAATCTGTACAGACAAAATACAAACACAAATAAAATGGTAATTTCAAGCTAATTCATTATTTTGATTTTTACTTCAAAAAGTGTGAATTCTAATCAAACCATTATAACAAGATATATTGTTAGTATTGATCATTCCTCAGATCACTGGATTGGGATGAGAAAATATTCAGCCAAGGTAAAAGTTTGATCACAGTTCATGAAAGAGATAATTCATGCAATCTCAACGTAATTTTATCAAATCCTCCTTAAATAATAAGTTAGCAATGCCTTGGGAGTATGGTTTCCAATAGCAATTCCGTTTGGCGCATTTGCGCTGAATTGCAGTGTGCAACTGTTCTCAAATTAGGCGCAACTGTTAGTTTACAGGGCTCACAATTGCGTGCAAGTAAAATCCACTTGTGTTGAAAACCATATTTGAAATTATTAATAGCTCATTAAATCAGAAATCTGTTTTAGAAAGGAATGGTTCTGGGTGATTATAGAATATTTACAGGACTAGTAGACCTCACAAGTATGTAATATTATGCAATACTTATTTCCAGTTTTATAATTTATCATTAGTTTAACTATGCACTATTTAGATGACCTCCGTGGAAACCCAATATATGAATCAGATTTTCCAAACGGAATGTCTATAAAGGTAGTTATATTAAATTTCTTTTTCTATTATTACAGCATCATGTTTAAAATATATTTTATTCAGCTTGTAGACACAGATCCTAAATATTCAATCATACCAAACCAAGGTGGATGTTCAAATGTCTGTCCTGTGGTTTGCAGAAAACCAATTGGTAAATTATATTTGTTTTTTTAATTATCAACTTATTGTAATAAAATCTTATTTCAGTTGAAGGATTTGGAAATTTTCCATTATTATCAACAAACAAAGTTTGGTTTGATGTGGAAAATAGGCATAGAGCCATTGCTTTAGAAAGTGCAATTGATATAAAGGTAATTTGTACAACTTAAGATTTTTATCACAAAGACATAATGACTTCTTTTTAACTCTATTCCTGCTGGGGGGGGTCAATTTGACCCCCCCCCTGTAGTTTTTTTTACATAACTCAAAAAGTATTGGTCTGAGGCTGTTGAAATTTTCTGACTTTTCTTACATACCCATAGCCCTCCCTTTACGCCTAAAACCGGGCTTTAATACTAACTGCCTGAGTCCTCAGGCCCACTGTAACAAACTAAATCTTTGTTTTGACCCACTTCCACTTGTCAGATTTTGATAAAATTTAGCTTTTTGGAAAGCCTTTGACATAAGGAAATGAATTGCACAAGTTTTGCGAAAAAAAATTGCAAAGTTTTTGCAAACAACCTGTCAAAGGAAATTTGCACATTTTTAGTTTTTCTTGATTAAAAATCAGGTTATTTAAAATTTTGCAATATTTGAAATGGCATGGTCAAGGGCTTTTCAAAAATGTATAATTTTTCATTTTTTGGACAAATTTTTTTTTGCAAACATTTTTACTTTATAACTGGATTTTGCGATAATAAATTCAATTTTTGCAAATTTGCTAATTTTTTTGCAGATTCTAAAAGTAGAGCACAAGAGCTTTCCAATGATGTATCATTTGTCATATTTGGACATCAAATATGGGATTTAGAAGGGGGGGGGGTCAAATTGACCCCCCCAGAGATAGGGTTAATAAGGCAAATAAAAATTTATTTGTATTGGAAAAAGCTTTATTTTTTCCCTGTTGATTTTTCTATTTTCATTTAATTTTTTGAATATTTTTGATAAAATATATATTATCATAAACTCTTTCAACCTTAACTATGAAAATTAGGTAACAAGCTTATTTTAGGGAACTGGGCAATTGTTTGCATTTCACAGCATTGCATCAACAGACTACATGGTTCAATTTAACTTTGCTACAGATATTATCATCAGTGGAATAATAATCACCACCAATAAAGCAAACTATGTTAAAGAAATGAGGTTGAGGGCAAACCTCGACAAGAACTTTCCATATCTCTTCCCAGTGGATTCTCTTTTGCCGGAGGATATTGTGAGTAATTTTATTTTATACATAATAAACATATGTGAAATATTCACAAACAATGTTTTCAGAGTTTTAAAATATTGGAAAGCAATTCGTATTTTGATGACAAAGCAGATTCTATTATGGTGACAAGGTATTTGCATTATTAAGTTTATCTAACAAAAACTGTTTATTTTTATTCAAGAAAACAAATATTTTAGAAAAGTTTATTTGCCAAAACCTGTTGTGACGAACAAATTGCGCCTTGACAAAATAGTTGGTTCTGCTACTCCAGCCTTTAGGATTGAACTGCTTGGATTAGACATGGAGACCAGGAATTCTTATAATAGTCCCTTTAAACCACTAACGGTTAGAACAAGTAAGCACAACTAAAATTTTCTACTAATTAAGAATTATGTTACAGTTCCTGAACATTTTTCAAGACATTCTAAAGATATTTGAATCTAAAGATATTTGAATACAGTAAAGTATGGTAATTAACACATTATTCTTTTAGAAATATATTTTTTATTCACTTCAAAAAGGCCTTAAGTCCCTGAAGTGTACATAAAATGTCCCCATTGAACTGAAGAATTTATGAAATAACTACAGGGTGAGTCAAAAAATAGTGTGATTAGCGGCGCTTGGTAAAAATTGTACCTTTTTCTTGTGCAACTCTCCAGTATGGTGTTTTTTCAATATTTTTTGATTTTTTTTTGTTTTCCAATGGCTCAGAAAAAAATCTGCAAGTCTTTTTTCTCTCAAAATCAGAAGTTAAGAAAAGCAAAAATGTGTATATATCATTTCAAAATCTAAAATTTTATAAGATTGAATCACAGAATCACAGAAAATTTGCAAAATTGTACAAAGAAAATTCGCAATTTTCAGTTCTGGTCTAATTTTTATGAAAAAGTTATTTAAATTCTCTAGTTCCTTTCTTCTTAGTATATTCTAAAGTTTTAAGTATCAGTTTCAGTTGAAACCTGGAGAGCCAATGAAAAACAATTTTTCTTTAAAAACTAGCCTAGAACTAAAAATTGCAAATTTTCTTACTACAATTTTGCGAATTTTCTGTGACTTTTACACATATTTGCTGTTCTAAACTTTTGATTTTGAGAGAAAAAAAAGGTTCGCGGATTTTTTTTTGCCATTGGAATACCAAAATAAAATAAAATAATTTTTTTTTAAATATTGAAAAAAAAACACCATAAAGAAAAGTTACACAAAGAAAGGTACAATTTTGCACCAGGCGCCGCTAATCAGACTTTTTTTCGACTCACCCTGTAAAGCTAGAGTAAGGGGAGTGTCTGGCTAGACATTGTAGTTGAACTGAGAATGCATAATAATGAAAAAAAAATAATTGATTTTAACATTGATTTAAAAATAAAGGAACCAAGTTTTAGCCACAAATTCTGATTTTCAAATCGCTATATCTTTGCAACCTGATAGTGTTAACCTTTGATATTTCAAACTATTATAACCTGATCTAAAACAATTCATAGTTTAAAATATCTAAGGTCTCTGACATTGAAATGCAAAGATATAGGAATAAGAAAATCAGATTTTGAGACAAAAACTCGATTTCTTTCTATTGAGAAATATGTTCTAAACTTCTAATTAGTTTACTATAGAATTTTTGCTGTGCTTTTCGTTATTGTTATTGAATAATTAAAAAAAACTATTCTTAAAATAATCCCTTCAAAAAAAGGAATTTAAAGATTGAATTTGCGCTCTTGCTGAACAAATGCGGACCTTAAAAATTTCTAAAACTGCATTCTCAGCTTAATTACCATATGTTTAACCAGACACTCCCGTTAAAGTGTAAGTAAATTCCTTAATCTGAAGTACTGATTAATTCCGCCTGGCCAAGGGCAGTTCTAGGATTCAGGTCAGGTCTGGGTAAACCAAAAGAAAAATTGTGCAAAATGTGAACATTCTTTTAAATCTACATAAGTACATATTCCAGGAAGACAGGATGTAAATGTCACAACCTCCACAGTTGAAACTGAAACGGATAGTTATGAACCTTTCAATGTAGGCAAGTACTCTTCTGAAATCTGATTTCAGTTTCATTGGTTTCCGAACACTACAGCCTTTTTTTTAATGTTTGCTTCATTAACTTATCTTTGATATCATTTACAGTTGTCAAATTAAGGTTCTTTGAGGTTCCATGATTAAAACAATTATATTTAAGAAATTTTATTACTGCATCAAACTACATAGTAATTGTAATCCAAAAATTTCTTAATTTTTTTAATTGTATTTGTTTTTTATTGGTTATTATTTGTTTAGGATACAGGATATTAAGGGGGAAGGCAGCTCCAGGAAATGACATTGCCAATAATTCTGTGCAACATTTCCAAGAGTGTGCAGATTTCTGCAAAATCACTCAAAATTGCAAAATTTTTGAGTTGGGTAAGTGTTATGTAAGGTTTAAAATTTTAAGGAATCTGTTTGAAATAAGACTCTGCAGGTATTTTGTAATTTAATGATTAGCCAGTTAAACCATTTCTTTTCAACTTGAGACAGGGAATAAGAGGTTTTGCTTTGCCTACAAAGGTCAATTCCAGTCTTATATTTTCATACACTGAAGACGATTTTCGATTTAAGTTTTTCTTTATTTATACCAAGCTTTCATACAGCATGAATAAACATAAATATTAAAAAAAGAAACAAAGAGAAGTTGTCAATTAAATGATTCTCCTTGTTTTAATCTTGTAATTTGAAAAAAACTTAATCAAAACTTACATGGAAAATTTGTCTTCATTGTATCAACATAAACACTTTAAATTTATTGAAATGGTTCAAAAACATTGCCTGGTGGAAGACGATAGTCAGCCTCTGTAAAAGTTCCACGACTGTAGACAGAGTCAGCTGGGATTGAAACAAGGCATTCTGCTTTGATCCATCTCCTGTGATATGTAAACATTGATAGTTCTTTAGAGTAAATATGTATTGGAAAAGATATCCTTGCTTTTTACTAGAGTCCGTCCTCATGGCCTCTATATTGGTGACCCTGAATTTGAACATTCAGTGATTCAACACTAGCCGGTATTGTGATATTTCTCAGACTTTAAACTTTATTCCCCACTAGTCAAGTAGTGATTGTTCCCCAGCATAAACTTGACTGAAGAATCTACGTCCCCAGCCACCACACAGTATGGCTGTCAAACTTCCAGATTTTTGGGCCAAAGACCCCAACCTCTGGTACCTTCAAGTGGAGGGTAATTCCAGAATGCTCAAATCAAGCAGTCTTGTACCAAGTTCGACCATATTGTGCAGAAGCTCACTGAGAAAATCATGGTTTTCGTCCGTGGACTGAGCTTGAACTCTACAGCCTCATCCTCCACCCCATATGTGGATCTAAAGGCCAAGTTAGTGCCCTCCTACACACTCTTGCAGGCTATTCATCATCCTGCTTTGGGTGTTCATCGTCTTACAACCCTGATGGATGTTATGTTGGCACTCCTCCTTGAGGACAAGGAAAAAGTGATTGCAGGTTTTAGAGTCTTTTTATGCATTAAAAAGTCTCAAATTCAGGCTCCAGTGCATGCATGACCATGGCCTGCATATAGATATGCTTCTATCTACCGATCTTTACTATTTTATGCCTGCGTACATGTAATTTTGTGGGTGTGCTTCACAGCTGTTACATCTGAGTGGACCTTAGATTTTTTTGGGAAATTTTTAAACATCTGCATGGTTTATTTATGGTTTCAATAATAAATGTTCATTCTGGCTATTGTACATTCTACACAAATAATTTGTTCTTTTAAAAAAGTTTGAAGTGAAGCTCAGGGTCCTAATCAGAGAAGAGCTTTGTTAGATTTCGGGCCATATGGAGTAAACAGAAATGATACAACTTAGCTAAAATCTTTTAATTATAACATTGCCTTCTAAGAGTTGGGAAGCATCTTATGGGCTTTGTTTTGAGATATACAAAATGTGGTCTGCCATTTTTGTACCTTAAGAATTGACTGAGATATTGAGAAATTTCCCTAAATTTCAAAGTATTAAATATCACTAAGGTCATTTAAATCTTTAATATTTCCGACAACTTTTATGATACTAAGATGGAGGCTAAATTTTACCAAGTTTTAAAGACTTACAATGTTTTTCTTTACTCCTTTAACAAATTAACTTAACAAAACTTAAGACAAATTGTAAGTCCAGGGTCCAATGTACTGCATGACAACCCAGCCTGAAAATGACATCAAACCTTGACTAATAAATTTCCTTCTAATCTAAAGTGGATCTGTTGTTCTGATATTTTTCATTTGGAGCTTGAGCAGCTGGCTTAAAGAGGACCAAAACTCTCAATTTGATTTACCAAATATCAGTCCAGTTATCAAGCTAGTGAAGTGCCCAGTTTGTCAAATCACTAATTAATTCGAAAAATTATATATTATACTAAAGAAATCAGCCATGTTTCTAAAATTTCAATAAAATTCTAAAAGAATAACATTAGTCATAGCTCCTATATTTACATCTGAGCAAAACATGTTGCATCCATATCAAATCAAAGTAAAACATGAATTCAGAAATTTCAGAACATTATCACTGTTCTTCATCTGACATAAGAAAAAGTCTTAAAGTATAAATGTTTAATAAAGCTCCAGACACCGTAATCACCCTTTTGGGACAAGGAAAGTTTTTGAATGTCATCCTACAGATGTTTTTATATCGAGGAAAATGACCTGTATATTTTCCGTCCTATACCTTTTTTTAGAACACGCAACTTAAACCCACGTAGCTAAACCATGTAAGTTAAACCCTGTAGCTAAATCATGTAAGTTAAACCCTGTAGCTAAACCATGTAAGTTAAACCCTGTAGCTAAATCATGTAAGTTAAACCCTGTAGCTAAACCATGTAAGTTAAACCCTGTAGCTAAATCATGTAAGTTAAACCCTGTAGCTAAACCATGTAAGTTAAACCCTGTAGCTAAATCATGTAAGTTAAACCCTGTAGCTAAACCATGTAAGTTAAACCCTGTAGCTAAATCATGTAAGTTAAACCCTGTAGCTAAACCATGTNCTTAAACCCCTTGTTAAATATCTCAAAGATCCGCCCTCTAATAATAAAATATACTTTCAACATACTCATCTATAGGTCCGGAGTGTCTCGCAAAAAGTTCAGCAACTGGTTTTAATGAAGACAGAGAACTTGGGCGTTATTTGTTAGGAGACCTGACTAACAAGTTTGATAAAGGTAATTTTTTCATTTTCTATCTTAAAAAACAATTTACAATTCTCTAATTTCTCTCTAATATCTAAAAATGAATGTTCTGTTGTATAGGTCAGATTTGTCCTGGTGGCCTTGTGACAATTTCCCTTTTTATCTATTCTAGGGTAGTTACAAACCAAACATATCTTGGTAAGTGACTTCTCTATTAAGTTTGTTTTGGTTTGAAAGGAATGCTGATTTTCAAAAAAATAAATCAATATTTATTTTATTTTGATTTACTTGCCAAACTACAAGTTCTGCAGGAAACATGGTTTCTCTCTGTAGTTAACTAAATATGAATGCAATACCAATAAATACATAGTTTAATAATGTTAATATTGGCAATACATTTTAGAATAAAAATAATAGTTTGCTTTTTTCTTTATACAGGTGGAACACTGTACTTAAAAAACAGTGCTGGATCTGGGACAACTCTTCAGATAGACATTATGCTTGGAGATAGATTCCATCTTAGATTAACAGTAAACTCAGCTTCGGAAGAACTTTTCTACTTTGATACAATAAAGGATTACACGGTTTCATACAGGTTGGTTTACACATGTATAAAGAGGTTTAGAATATTTTTGTCTGAATGTCCATAGAGAGTACTGTTTACTTTCTTTAAGACATTGATAGACGTGTCCCTGTTTCAAAAAACAGCTTTGTCCATTGAATTTTTATTTCAGCTATCAGCTCTAAACTAAAACTGAATATTTTATTATTACCCTTAACACTTTCAAGCCAAAGTGTTAAATAAAATTTCCTTTAAAAGTCTAACATTGGAATGCAAGACTAAGAATTGTAACATTTTTGTATAGTCAATATCTACAAGTAACAGCTGAATGTGTGGGAACAGGAGGAGCATATAATCTTTACTTAAACGGACATTTATTGGGACAATATCAGCAGCTCCGTAAGTGTTACTTACTTTTTTATGAAAACATTTTTTAAATTGCTTGCCATTGCTTATAGGTTAAAACTTTGATCTTCTCTCATTTTAACCTTATTTTTTGCGGGGGGGGGGGGGGGTTTACATAACTAAAAAAGTATTGGTCTGAGAATGTTGAAATTTTCTGACTTTTCCTACATACCAAAAGCCCTCCCTTTAGGCCTAAAACCGGGCTTTAATACTAACTGCATGAGTCCTCAGGGACACTGCCTTAATGACTGATTTTCCTGTAACAAACTAAATCTTTGTTTTGACCCACTTCCTCTTGTCAGATTTTGATAAAATTTAGCTTTTTGAAAAGCCTTTGACATAAGGAAACGAATTGCACAAGTTTTGCGAAAAAAATTGCAAATTTTTTGCAAACAACCTGTCAAAGGAAATTTGCACATTTTTTAGTTTTTCTTGATTAAAAATCAGGTTATTTAAAATTTTGCAAAAAATTTTGCATATTTGAAATGGCATGGTCAAGGGCTTTTCAAAAATGTATAATTTTTCATTTTTTCGGACACATTTTTTTTTTCAAACATTTTTACTATATTACTGGATTTTGCGATAAAAAATTAAATTTTTGCAAATTTGCAAATTTTTTTGCAGATTCTAAAAGTACAGCAGCAGAGATAGGGATAACTAGCATCTAAAATATGTTTACTATTTTTACTTTTCCCTTGAAAATAATTCCGCCCGAAGAAGTTAAGTGCACTTGCCGCATTGATTTACAAGAAGAGAGATATTAGTATACCATTTATGGATAGGTTAGGTTAAGACGCTTTCTAGGCCATGTGTTGCAGCTAGGACAGGCTAGGGTGCCAAGCGCCGCTGATAGGACAGTCTAGGGGTCCAAGCGCCGCGGCTATAACATGCTCTCTCTGTCTTGTTATTTAACGCGGCATGCGCACATACCTTCCTTTGGCTTCAGCCAATAATTCTGCTTTGAATTTAGGTTTATTTTTGGGTATACGGATTTAATTATCTGTATGAGTGACTATAAATGGGAGTTTTTTCAATTTGTTTCTTCATTCAATCTTAGTGATTAATTTGTTTCAGTTTCAAATTTGAATTATTTGGTTAGCTGAATCATTATTAATTTTCCTACTTTTTTGTTCATTCAGCAAAATTGATCTGCTCACTAAAAGAATTAAGTCTTTGCCAAAAACTCTTGTTTAATTATCCCTATTGTACCAGCTGTACTTTCTTCTCAAAAATGTACCAATAAAAATGAACCTTTTTCCTAATAATGTGATTATATCTTCTCAATGTCTTCTGAATTCCACTAGAATGCTCGCCATAAACTTTTATTAGATGGAATTAAATAAAAGCGCCACGCAACTATGAAAATAATAATATTACTGTCTCAGACCAAATCTCCTGGANTTCTTTTTATGATTTATAGGGTAGGGTACAGTGTGGATAAAAAGTCCAGACTGTGAACAAAAAACATCTAAAATAGCCTATAACTTTTTTGTGACTAAAGCTACTGATCTAAAAATTATAGTTTTGAAAAGCCCTTGAAAAATGCATGTGTCACACTTCGGTATTTGTTTAAAACAAAAAAATATTTTTTTTGACCCTTTTTTAGGCTTTTTTTTTCAACCCTCTCTAGCACCCAAACTAGTTATCGGTCTAACTTTTTTCAATTTGAGTTGGCCTTTAAAAATTTGGCTATGAACATGCATTTCAATAACTATTCTCTAATGCCTTTTTTCTAGGGGGTGGGGGGCGCCAAATGCCAAACCCCCCCCCCCCCCCCCCAAGGCTAAAGATAAATTCAGCTACCCCCAGCCTTTGAAATATAAAAGTTTTACATCATCAGATTGCAAAGATATAGAGATTAAAAAAATTGAATTTGTGGAACAGACTTGATTGTTCAGTAAATTAATTGTTCATCTAAATTATTTGTTCATTGAAAACTGTTGGTTCAAGAGAAGGATAGGTTGGGGTTATATAGGCTTGGGTTATGAAAGGTTGAGTTTCAAAAAAAAAAATTTAAAAACAATTTTTAACATTATCATTTATAAACAAATTTTTGTTTTGAATTTGTGTTTTGATAGGAGAAATATCTATAAATATATTAGTCCTGGTGCAAAGCCATTAAAGGGTTAAAAAAACTATGCCCATCTCTAGATTAGACTCTGTAGGTAGAAACAGTATACCATACAATCCCCAGTGGACGGTCAAACATTTACCATCTTGTAAACTGCGTTTAAAAGTTCTATCTATTTTAGCTGGAGCAGGATTTGTTCCTGATCTGTTTAAAATCAAGATGTCTGATCATATAAAATGGAACACATTAGATTATAGGTAAAATGAAAGTACTGTATAGAAAAGTAAGCTTTGCATAATTTAGTTTAATAAATAAATTAAGAAAAATTTTAAATAAGCAAATATTTATCTATGAAATATTTCAAAACAGATGAATTTTCCCAGCTAGACATTTGTTGTGAAAAATACAATAATATATTTTAGAACAACTATGCCATATGGTATTTTCTCTGCTCTGCTCGAAACCACAGATGTTGGAGTTGATAACATGACTAAGCTTGGGGATACTTTTATACCTGAACTGAATTCACATATTGCATTTCATAGGGTATGTAGTTGTATTAGAAAAAATACAGTGATGTGCGGGGAATAGCTTGAGATGGTAGAAAAGAAGTATATATTGGATTCTTTAACTTTAACTGATGTTCTCTCTATAATGAATTGATGTTGTGCAAATTAAAGAAGTATATTGATCAGATGGCTCACATAAAGAATACAGGGTTCTTTCATACTCCACGAATTATTGTCAAGTTAGAATAAGAGAGAGAAAAGATGAAAAATCATTTTTAGAATCATTCAATAATTCGACTCAGAGCAGCAGTTTAATGATTATATTTAAGATGTAAGATAACTAAAATTTCTAATAAAAATATAAATATTTTCTTCATCTAGAGAACAACCTGGCCAGGTCAAAGTGTTTTCTACAGAGTCTTATCTTTAAAGCAACACTGCTACCGAGATAGGGGTTTAAATGTCCACTGCAAATATCTGACAGATAAATGGCATCCAACGTAAGATTTTTGATCAATTCAACTAAAGCTAAAAAAATAATATGATTGTTCTTTTGTAGAGCAATGGTAGGTGGAAAAGAGACTCAGAGCCATAAAGGAAGTGTGCATTGTGATTCGCCTTTTAACACTTTTATTTCCAAGTGCCTTAATATACCCAGTATAGCACAAGGTCTACCTAACCCTGTTTCCTACTCAGAGGCTGAAGGTAATGCTTAAGCTTTTCTGGCATAATCTTTTTGACTGAACTTTATTTTATCATTATGAGAGTATTTATATTCAGGTGTTTGTCAAAATAGCAACATGAAGATTTTGTTCAGCAATGACCTACTTTTCAATGCTGGGTTGAAAGCTTATCTTACAGACCCAGCAATACAGTCTAAAGATTTTTGGATTGGTAAACTAAAGGATGTTGATAATCTTGCTAAACCAAATACAGACTGGAGTCCCAATGGCAGAGATGCAACCAAGGACTGTGTGATTGCTGATTCCACAAATGCATTTAAATGGAAATCTGCTGACTGTACAAGTCTTGGCACCTTTCTATGTGAAGGAACAACCCCAGACTGTCCCTTTGGTTACACCCATTTGCCAAATGCAGGTCCAAATAAAAATTCCTGCTTTAAAATAAACAGTGGAGGTCAGCTTAGTGCGGGAAAAATAACATCCAGTATTTCCACAGCTGAAAGTTTATGCATGGAAGATGGAACTAGATTAGCTAGTCCAACTAAATCTGATGGTCAAGGCCTTAGAGATTGGTTTAACTTTTTCCCTGATCACAGATATACCGGTGAATTAGGAAGAATGACAAACTTATGGTTAGGTTATAGACATTTCAAGCAGTCCTTGACTAAGTCTGCTTCATGTACAAGCTGTAACTGGCCTGATGGTTCTATAAGTCCCTGGCAACAACAAATAATTCCTGAATCCCAAATGAACTCTGGCAATATTCTTGGAGCTTCCACTGACTATTCAAAGTGTTTCAATTTTGATAGAGTAAAAATCAAACAAGACTTAAAATGTGCAGAAGAGGTCAATGAGTACCATGCATTATGTGAATATAGGGGATGTGAAACAACTTCTGCTGTCAAATGTAAATTTCCTTTCCGCTATGCAGGTCGATTATATAATACATGTATTAAATTTGGAATACCAGAATCTCCAGCCTGGTGTGCAACTTCAGTAGATTCAAATTTAAATATAAAAACACAGGGAAACTGTTCAAGTTCATGTGAAATAAATAATTGTCCAGTTGGGTTTCATCCACACTTAGCAACATGTTTGAGACCATCAGCAAGCCATACTTTAGACACTGCTAAAAGCATTGACGAGGCTGAAGCCAAATGCTTTAAACTTGGGGCCCGACTCTACCAGCCTAGAAGCAGCAGAAGTCTAAAGTCCTTGACCCAGAAAAATGGACAATTTTTCTCCCTAGGTTCAAAATCTATACTACCTCAAGCATCTGGAAATGTGAGAGTGGCAATAGGAGTAAACTTTTCTGTTGAAAGTAATGAGCTTTTTTACAAAGATGGCAGTGCTTTCCCTTATTCCTTAATAGAAATCTCCGGTGATTGGTCTTGGTTAAACTCAAATCCAAGCCTTGATGTGGAAAAAACTTGTATTTTCTTGAAAAATGGGAATCAATTTGTAAATGATGTTTGCAATGGATACTCAGTTGATGGAAAAGATTATCTCAGTTATATCTGTGAAGCAAGACCCCTTCAAACCCTGGGACCCAAACCATCTGCTTGCCATTTTCCATTCAAAAGAAGCACTAATGATGAATGGCATCATAGCTGCATCTATGAGTTGGTAGCGGTAAGATTTTAATTATGATATTGGTTATACTAGCCATTCTTTATATACAATTATATTTATTTTTATAATAGGTATATTATAAATCATAATTAGGGTGTGTCGAAAGTTTGGTGTGCAACAGAAGTAGATGCTAATGGAATCATGAAACCAGGAATGTTTGGTAATTGTGAAGAAGATGAGAGAGACACTGCTTATGATGGACCAGGTAATATTTTGATTCAGCACACTAGAAATGAGTATTCTGCTCTTTTAACTATTCTAATGTCAAATATTTGTCTTCAAATGTAGATAAAGAGATTATTTAAAAATTCTTATGAGTTCCTCTACTTACTTTAGTTTTCAAAATTCTAGGTTGTTACATTGAAAACAGGTTAAAAAATCATGAAAATATCTTTAGGCGCAGATAATACCTGCAAGATTCCTTTCTTTATGGATGGAGTGTGGTTTGAAAACTGCACACTAGGAATCAGGTCATTGTCTTCACTTAAAAATTTTACTATTTCCTTCAACTTTTTGAATTACCTTTATTTCAAAGCTTATGTCTAGACTATGAAATTAGTTAAACCACTTTAAGTATTTCTCAGTTTTTGTTTAACATCAGTTTTGCAATTATCACTAATGCTTAAATTGTTTGGTCAGAGTTATTCTTTGGTTGATATTGTAAAATAAATTTCCATCTAGTTTGAATAATAATGCAGATTTATTTTAAACAACATGAACAATACCACTCTGAATATTTAGAGATAAATACTGGTGTCCTACCTCAGTTGATCCTGTCTCAAGAATTCAAACAGGTTCATTTTTATCATTTATAGCTGAGGAGTTAGATTTGAAATTTGATGAATATGCGGGATTTTAATTATTGATGTTATAATGTTTCTTTAAATGCAACCCCAATATTATATAATATAAATATATCTAAACGTATCTTTCAGCTCAAAGATTAATTTCAATGACAAGAGGCAAATTGTAAAGAAAGTTTAGTGTATTACCACTGAACTACCTGAAACCAGTTCCAGTTGAGCACCGGCAAAATTTCAAGGCACTAATTATAACTTCAAGTGGAAAAAACCATGTTAGAACTGCATCTTATATTTGAACTGCTTTTAGACACATATTAAATTCTTTAATTTAGGCCTCTGAGTGATTTGTTACAATGGTCAACATAACAATAGAGATATTGAAATAAATCTTTGACCCAAAAGATTAGTTTAGTGGTAATGTGTCATTGCCTGGTATATGTTTTGTGGTTAATTACTTAATATATGTATGGATAGTGTTTATTGGGGCCAATGATAGATACATGAAACTGAACATGTGACCTAATGGTTGAAATTGAAAGCTTCAATAAAACCAGTTTAGTTCTAGTCATAATTACATTAAATTTGCTAAAACAATTGAACCAGTTTAGTTCTAGCCATAATTACATTAAATTTACAATAACAATTGAACCAGTTTAGTTCTAGCCATAATTACATTAAATTAATTTATGCATTTAAATAAATGGAAGTTAAAAACTAATTTTTGAAAACCTGTCTTTATTGTAAATTTTGGAAATATATGTACTCACATTTAAGCATCCTATACTTTAATGTACCTATGGGAGTTGATTGATACAATAGATAATGGGTTTAACAGAATTAACTTGCAATATCCATCTAAGCTATCTTTAAAGTCTAAATAAAGTCATAAGGGGTCCAGGGTGGTGTTGAAACTATTCTTATCTTAAAGTGCCACATTTATTCCCTAATAAGTTAAGAATGTAGGGAAAGAATATGTAATACAAAATAAATTATACAAGAGAAATTTAAGATTTATATTTATAGCTGCCAGTTCATGGGGTTACTGTAACAACCATCTTATTCCTGAAATAGAAGACTGTCAAGAAAATTATTACAAGGTTGATGATCTTTGTGTAAGGTAGGATGGTTTTTCTTATCATTGTAATGCTGTTGGTTTGTTTTCACTTCTAAATTTATTTTTAATTTTTCAAGATTTATAGATACCAGCCTGCTATAAGCCAACTAAATGTAGTTTGGATCAAATCAGCTATTTCAATGTTTAATGGATTAAAAACATTTAGAAACAAACAAACGTACTAAGCACATGCAAATTCAAATTTTTATTATTATTTTAGAGTTTCTCCTTACAAATTGACATGGGATGATGCAGAAGCACAGTGTAAAGAAGAAGGTGGTCATCTTATGCATATTCAAACAGTGCGGGTTAGTGAATATTATTAACAATAAATATTTATTTTACAAGAAACCAAACAAAAATATTGTAAAATAGGCACAATCAGAGCTTGAAGAATTAATCAAAGATCAGATAAAGAAAAAAGCTTTCTTTGCTGAAAAACAATGGACTACTGAGGCATTGGATGGATTTTGGATTGGAGGAACAGTAAGTCTTAAAAAGCATAAATAACTTCAGGGATTATAATTTCTTTTAAAAGGATATAATATTATGATGCACAACCAAAGTATTTAAAATTGCTTTTCTTAAAATATTAGGAAGGATAATCTTCTCTTATTGTTTTTAAAAATTAAGGTTCGACATATGAATCAATGGATTTGGGAAGGAAAGTTAACTCCAGTGAAGGATAACTTTACAAACTGGGATAAGTCATTGGAAGGAGTTGGATGTTCTCCAGTCTGTCTTTCCAGGAATAACAGGTATTCATCTATTATGAGGTACAAATAAAGGCCAGGACATTAAAACTTATAACTTTGTTCCAGAATGCTGTTGCAAAATGGTGGTAGGTTTACCTGGATTGCAAAACAAATGGGTAATAAATATCCATACATATGTGCTTCCCAGTGTAAACTTGGATATGTTTGGAGGCATGAAGCAAGAAAATGTGTAAAAGTGATCAAGGAAGCTGCAAAATTCACAGAGGCTGAGCTTCAATGTTCACTTGATAATGGTCGTCTAGCCTCAGTTTTCACATGCAAAGAATTTGTTGGATTGGCTCTTAGTTTGTGGAATAAATATTCTGATTTAACTAATACATATTGGTTTGGGATCTATTTGGATGGTCTAGATTCTTATACCATGAGAAAATCTGGCCAAATTATAGGCAGCAGCGGATTCTCTACTGTAAATGTAAATTCTCTCACTGACTGCACAGTAAATAACGTAGAAATGACAGTGGATGGTACAGTTGGATTAACTTCTATTACCCCAAGACCATTAGGATATCATGGAGAAATGATATATAATACAGATAAGTCAGCAAAAGTTAAAGTTTATGAATTTGGCTTGACAGATGCAACAGTTCCAGGCAAATATCTCTGTGAAAAAGAAACAGACTATATTTGTCCGCAGGGTTTCCTGTTATTTCAACAGCTGTGCTACAAGCTTCATCAAGAGGAGGTTGAGCAGGCAGAAGCAGAACGAGTATGTGTCAGCAATGGTGGGAATCTATTAAAAGTTCAAACTGGAATGCAACATACCTTTCTTGTTGCTGCACTGAATACAAACTCAAATTTTACAAAAGTATGGTTAACATATCAGAAACAAACACAAGACCCTACTGAAAATACTTACTACCCAACAAGTGTTAATGATGGACCCTTCATGTTTGATAGTGTTTTTTCATCTTCAACTGAAACCAGTTCAGATGAGATTAACTGTGTATTAATGGATTCTAATGATGTTGAAAAGTTTTCTTGGAAGAAAGTGTCATGTCATTCAAAAGCCAGTTTCATTTGTGAAAATTCTTTGATATTAAATCCTGAACAAGTGAGGTCAATACCTAAAATACAAGCACTATTGCCATTAGATGAGCTATCTGGATTTACTGACCTTGCAACAATTACAAGAATCAACAATGCAAGTCTTGTTTCAATAACCTCTGAAAGTGTTATTAAGAGTGGTCTTACTGGATCTGCATATTTCATGGGACACACAGAGTCTTATATTGATGTAGAGACAAAGGATAACATTTTGCTCACTGAATTTGGAATATCTATATCAATGTGGGTAAATATTGAGAAAATATTTGATAATGAGGTTCATCCACTTATTGATGGTAGTGAAGACTGTATAGATGGAACTGAAAAGCCAGGATTTACCATGATGTTAACAAGAGCTGGCTCTAGTCTAAATATTGCATCTGGAGCACCATCTAGTTGCTTTGATGTATTTAACAATTCTAAAACTGACAGCATATCTGGCACTGAAACTGATGATATATTTGTGACGGTTATATCAAGACTTTGCTCAATCAAAGGTGATGGATCACTAAGCTGTAGTACATTTTCATCCTCATTCAACAACCCTCTTAGCCCTGAGACATGGCATCACATAGGTTTTACCTTTGATGATGTTGAAAATCGTGGAACTTTTTTTGTGGATGAAACTTTTGGATATACTGATATAACTGTATCACCTGCAACTGTACATGACAATAAATACTTTACCTTTGATACCAATGGCTGGATGTCAACAGCAATGAACAGTTTTGTACGCATTGGATCATTGAAAAATCAAGCTAAAGAGGACAATGGAAGTGGTTACGGTAAAGCGCACTTTAATGGATTGATGTCTTGCTTACAAATATATGAAGGCCCTCTAAACATTGTCCAATTCCACCATTTGGCAAGTTGCCCGGTGCCTCTGAATTACCAAAATAAAGCAACATTATGCCCTATTGGATATGATTATTACAAACAAAAATGTTACAAGTTATCCTTAAGTCCTCAAGACTTTGCAACTGCTGAAGCTTCCTGCACTTCCAGCCCAGGTTTGGATTACAAATTTGAAAGTAAAATAAATGTTTTTCATTTAAAAAAAAAACTTAATTTCTCTTGTTTCCAGTCTTTAAATCTGGAAGAAATAGAATCATTATTCCATTATTCTGGGGAAAATGTTATTTTGTTAAGATTCCAAATACCTGACGTATCTTGGTTATCCCAAGGATAGAAGATCGCAAGAATATTTATCTAACTTCTACTTTCAAAGAAAGGGTATTGATTCACTTTGGATTGGTTTGGATTCAAGGTTAGCTCATTTTTATTTTGAACATTGAACTAAGGCTACATACCATAATCATTTATTTACTCAGAGTAGGGTTGGGCACATTCCGACTATTTTAAAATTATTCCGTTCTGTTCTAGAACAAGGACCTTTTTATTGTTCAGTTCTCGTTCTGTTCCGTTCTGTTCTTGGTGTTCTTATTTAAAGAGAAGTTCCATCCCTCTCTTTCTGTTCTTAGTCAAAGAACGTTTCTATCCCCCCGTTCCATTCTTAGTATAGTTTCTTTTCTTTTAGATTTTTGAAAAATATTTAATTTTCATAATCAATATTTCAATGATATCAAAAAGATAAATAAATAAATTATAGAAAACAATTTCCTTCAACATAAATTCCCCCCCCCCTTCATTACATTATCTCTAAGCTTTAACAATAAATTAAAACCTTATTACTCGAAAAAACTAGTAATTTCCACAAGAAAATTCTGATATTAGCCTTATTTAATTTTTCAAAATGATTTTTTTTTCATAATTTTTCAGATAAGTTCTGAAAATCGTAATTTATACTGATTGAAGATCTAATATGCTGTGGGACACCCTGTATTTATAGATGATTTAGAACACATTCCTGATTAATAATGCATTCCCAACTTAGAACATTTTCTTGATAATGAGAACATTAACAATTTTAACTGTTTTTTAATCAATTCCCATTCCGTTCCATTTTTTTACCAATCATTCCAATATTTTTAAGAACTCGTTTTAAGCATATCGGAATGATAGGATTGTTTTTGATTGTTTTGTTTATTCTCGGGAAAGAACCATCGTTCCACCAGGAATGCGCCCAGCCCTAACTCAGAGTATGTTATAAAATTTTAGTCTTTCAACAATTTCTTTATAGGTCTAATCACCCCATTTCTGATCCTTTGATATGGAAAGCATCAAATGGAGACAATGCTGATACTACAAAAATACACTGGGGAGGGGGAATTCCAACTACTGCTGATTCCAAACTTTGTGCTGCCATTGACAATTCAGAAAAAGGGTACTAAAATAAATTTAAAAATCAATAGATAGACATTTTAAGAATAGGTCAATGACTATTTGTTTAGAAAAATTGTTCCCAACAACTGCTTAACAAAACTTTTCTACACTTGTGAGACAGATGCTTCAGATGCTGATACAAAACAAGAAACTCCTTGTCCTAAAGGTAATCTATTTTGCCAATTGTAGGTTTTAAAAAATGTATTTGTCCAGAATTAATGCTAATGCTTTAAATTGTTCCTTTTCCAATATCAAAACACTTGTAAGAATATTTTCAGGTTATTTCTTTTATAAAAAAGAGTGTTATTTATATCATGGTGAGTTGACTGACTTTGATACAGGAGAGGAGGTAAATATTTATTTAGATACTGGTTTAAATATGTTTTAGTTCTGCTTTAACAAATTTACTTAATAGAATTATTATTTATAGTGCTTTGACCTGCAATTAAGATCATTCTTTGAAAGATTAGTCCCTTGTAAATTTTGATTTAAATCTTATGGAAACATTTTTTTTGGTCAAACATTATTACAGTGTATGATGAAAAGCTTCTTTTTTAACATAAAGTTTGTATATGCATGTATTTTTCATTTAGATGTGTGCCAAGCATGGAGGAAAACTTCTAACCTTAAATAATAGAGCTACTTATCACTTTATCAGAGCACATGCTACCGTTTATGGTCTTCAAAATATTGTTCTGGGCTTAAATTTTTCAACAAACATACCAGATAAGTAAGTCTCTGATTAACCATATCTAATTATTTAAAATTTTATTTTTTCTATTCAGTGGTCTTTTATACAATTATTCATTATTTTAGACTGGTACTGGATGTGTATGACAATGAGTTTATTAAGGGTCAAAGCTACAGTTTTGATTCTGATCAAATTGATAAGTATGGAAAAGGACCCTGTGTTGTGCTTAAAAAGGGAATTCGATATCTTCCACGAGATAGTGAGTGTGACGAACCTTTGCAAATTGTCTGCAAATGGAATGGTAAGAGTGTAAAATTATGACTGACATAAATGAAATCCTGTTTAAAATTATAATTAATTATATTAACCCTATTCCCACTGGGGGGGGGGGGTCAATTTGACCCCCCCCTGTAGTTTTTTTTACATAACTCAAAAAGTATTGGTCTGAGGCTGTTGAAATTTTCTGACTTTTCTTACATACCCAAAGCCCTCCCTTTAGGCCTAAAACCGGGCTTTAATACTAACTGCCTGAGTCCTCAGGCACACTGCCTGAATGACTGCTTTTGCCTGTAGCAAACTAAATCTTTGTTTTGACCCACTTTCACTTGTCAGATTTTGATAAAATTTAGCTTTTTGGAAAGCCTATGACATAAGGAAACAGATTGCACAAGTTTTGCGAAAAAAAAATTGCAAATTTTTTGCAAACAATCTGTCAAAGGAAATTTGCACATTTTTAGTTTTTCTTGATTAAAAATCAGGTTATTTAAAATTTTGCAAAAATTTTTGCATTTTTGAAATGGCATGGTCAAGGGCTTTTCAAAAATGTATAATTTGTCATTTTTTGGACAAATTTTTTTTTGCAAACATTTTTACTATAAAACTGGATTTTGCGATAAAAAATTCAATTTTCGCAAATTTGCAAATTTTTTTGCAGATTCTAAAAGTAGAGCACAAGAGCTTTCTAATGATGTATCATTTGTCATATTTGGACATAAAACATGGGATTTAGAGGGGGGGTCAAATTGACCCCCCCCCAGCGTATCCTGGTTTTCAAGTACCCCAGCGGGGATAGGGTTAATGAAATAAAATTAGTAAATGGTTAAAAATAAAAGATTAATAAAAACAATTATTTTCCAGCTCCAACTTGTCCTGGTTTTGTTGTGGCCAGAGGAGAAAGAGACTCTAGATCCTGTTATTACATATCATCAACCCCTGATTCTGTAAGTTAATAATTAATGTCACCAACACTAACAATCTTAATCCAGTAAATTTAATTGGTGCTTTATAGTTAGCCCTTCTTTGTTTATGATTTCTTAGTATCTAAAAAGACTAAAAAATTCATACTGAACTATGATTTCAGGCAGCAAATGTGGCGATAACTTGTAGTTCTCCACAAAATTTCTTAATTAGACCTGGATTACCAAGTGAACTTGGCATAATCAAAGCAATAAAACCTCAACCTAGGTAAATATAGAAAAATATGTAAAATAAATATATGTCAAGTGTATGTATATTGCAGGGTTTGGATTTAAAACATAATTTTCTAAAAATATTTCAAAAACTAAAATATTTTAATTAGTACATTAATATTTTTTTCTTTCTGTCTCATCAATACTATTTTAACAGAAACCAAATTCAATGAATATATAGAAGTAGTTGAACCAAGTGGAACTGGTTCAACTTTGTGCCAGATTAAGCTGAAGTGAACTATTTCTTACTACTAATTTACCTAATAAAGGCTAGGGGGTCTGAATCTATGTATATCGATAACTTTAATAGTTTGAGTGCTAGGGAGGATGGAAAAAATGCCTATAAAAGGGTGAAAAATGAAGAAAAAATATTTTGTTGTTTTAAACAAATATCATAGTGTGACACATGTTTCTACATGCATTTTTCAAGGGCTTTTCAAAAATATAGATTTTAGATCTGTAGCTTTAGTCACATAAAAAGTTATGGGCTAGTTTAGGTTTTTTTCCCTGACCAGACTCTTTTTTTCCATCCTGTACCCTACCCTATAAATAAAAAAATAAAAAATTTAATAAAAAATCCTTTAAATTACTATTTATTAAACGTCACAAAATTTCATGGTGATAGTGTCAAAAATGAGACTGCTAGGACAAAAAAAACTTCAGGGGAGGGGTGCCAAACAAGTCCCCCCCCCTGTTTAGGGTTAAAGAAAATTTAAAAAACAACAAACATTTCAGAGAAGAATTCTATTGGATTGATGGATACACACCAGGAGACTTTAATTGGACAACATATGGATTCAGGGAGAAGGATGATAATAGATATGTTCAGGACATCAGGGATTTCAGATGGAACAGGTATATCAATTGTGTTCAGTTTACATCAATTTCAATTTCACAAGATGGAAACAAAATGACAAAAAAATGTTCCTGTGAATTTTAACTAAAGTACATTTTCACAACAAATTAGTCAATATTTCATAGTCATTAATCATACAACACAAAAACAAAGTAATTCATCCATATTATTATTTCTAGAACTTGGTCTGAAATTGGTGCTGTCAAGATGTTCAACTTTCCTAAAACAACTAATATCAAGATAATGGCTCCTGAGGGTTTATGTGGTGCAACTTCTAAAAATAAGCTGTACATCAAGGGACAATTTAACTTAGGAAGAATCAGTGCAGATCCTCCCTTAATTTACTTTAAGGTCAATAAAACAACTGAACTGTTCAAGTTTATCTTCAATCTTGGAGCAGACAAGAATTCTCCTAACTCATATTCCCTTTGGTCTGTTATCAATGGGGTAAACCAGACAGATGTAAATGTTACACTATCGGACTTTAACAAGACAAACCCAGAGTTCAACATGACAATATCATGTGTTGATCTTGACAATCTTCACAAATTCAAGGAAATTTACAATCTATTTATTAAAAGCATTACATAAAATGAAATTAATACAATTCCTTACACTATATCTGCTTGATTGTAAACTTAAACATACAGGTTGTGTTTAATTACTGGAGTTCTGGAAATGATCCCAATGCTCTGGTAAGAACAAAAGAAAACTGGGATACTGAGTATACTGTTAGTTCAGCAATTAACAGCACTGATATAGCTGAAATTCTCATCAAAGGAGGCATGAATATATACTTTGCTAATTTTACTGAGGAAAAATGCTTAGGACTTTCTGCCAATGGTTTGGTTGTTCCAATGAGTGGAAACAATTGTGCATTGCCCAAAAAAACGGTTTGTGAATTCCAGAGCTGTTACACAAAAGAAGGAAATGAATGCATATTTCCATTCACCTACAAAGAAGTTGTTCATCATAAATGTATATCTGAAGATGTATATCAGCCCTGGTGTGCAACAAAGATTGTTAATGGGACCACCAACATTGAACAGTGGGGTCTTTGTTTAGATGATTGTGTAAGTGAAGAACCTTTACCATCATGTTTATCACCGCCAACTGTTCCTATGTTTGGAATACGAAACAGCTCAATGCATCCCCAATTTGAGAACTATGCTTCCAATTGGTTTGCTTTGTCTTTTCTAAATAACCAGGTATTTATGAATTTAAGAACTAATACGAGATCCTAAATTTTATTAAAAGTTCTAAATTAAATAATGTAGGATGGAAGTCCCAATCATACACATTACAAGATATCTAGAGAAACAAGAGAAAAGCTTTGGCAGCCATGGATGATTTATAATGCATCGGAAAAAATAGAAAATAACCTTGAATTTATAGCTTCCTCTAAAGATGATCATTTCAATGATGTTTATCAAATAATGCCAAATGGCAGTGTGGCAAGTTATACATGTCCTGAAGGATGGGTGTTTGAAGACAGTTTCAATATAACACAATATTCATATTGTGAAAATGGAACTTGGCGGGAAGATTTCAATGCATCTAAAAAATGCACTCGTAAGTATAAAAAAGATAAAATCTAGAGATATATTGATATTTCATTCCAATCTCTTTCTAGCTGTAGTTTGCAAGGAGGAAAATATACCTGTTTTTAATACAACCAGGGGAGTTAATGGAACTGTTAATTGGAAAGAACAGAAAGCAGCAGATCCTAGATGGTGGAATTCTTATAAGAAAAGGCAATATTTTGATTTGATAATGAAAGAATAATGTTGGGCAGTGAAGGGAACACAGAAAAGAACTTATAATATACACTAATAAAACAATGAAATGAAATTATTTTGGAGTGTGCAACATCAAATTCTTTAATCATATCAATCTTTTTCAGAAAAAGCTTTCACTAAAGAAAGAGGAAATTATTTTCAAGTCAAGTATCTTAGCTCCCATCGTAATTTTATATTGGGAGAGTAACAAATTAAGGAAGATCTTCCTTTATGAATTCATACTTTGTTGAATTCATACTTAGTTAAGCAAATAATTGGATTATTTTCCGCAGTTTAAATTACTTATGAAAACAATCATGCATTTCTGTTAGTTTTTGAATGGGTGGGAATCAAAATGTTAAAAATATAAACAGAACATTTTTTAATGCACACATTTTATGAAAGGGGAAGCCTTTTACAACTTATTATTTGTTGTTACTTTTGGTATTTATAGAATAACCTACACCTGCCCTACTGGATATGTAATAGAAAACCCATATGGAAACTATAATGAACAACCAAACCCCATTCCAAAAGAACAGGTTATCATATTTATTGCTACATTTGCTAATGTTACTCCAATAACCTCTGTTTTTAATTATTTACAACTACTTTACATGGAAGTTAAAGGAATTTAACTCTACCAAAACAGCCAGAGTGCAGGATGGGATGTTTTGAACAAAATTGGTGGAGGGAACCTGTGGTTAAGCAACATTTGCTATTTACCAAAAAAGTAGTTGTACACAATTTCACAGTCTTTTGAGATTAGGGTTTCCAACATAATAGATTATTCTCTTACTCGTAATTACGTGCAGTTAGGCGTAGTAATTTTCATTTCGTGTAATTTTGCAGGATTCCGCGTAATTGGGGAAATATCCATTTCGCAAAATTACGGCATAATTTTGCTTAATTTCTACAACGTAATTTAGCAAAATGACTCAATGATTAGGTGTAATAAGCAAAATTATAATTACGAGTAATTACGGCCTAATTTGGTGTAATTTCTCTGAGGTAATTTCGCGAAATTTGTATTAATCATGCATAATTAGCAAAACTTCAATTTCACGTAATTTCTACAAAGTAATTTTGCGAAATTTTGCAATAATTACGTCTAGGAAATTTTGAAGTTTTAACTTTTAATTGAATAAAACAACTAACTTACAAGGAAAATAATGTCATGCAAGTTGAATCAGAATTTCAGCCAATATTATGTTGATGTAATTTTCACGTTCGACAACTAAAAAGTTTAACAAAGGAGGGGGGGTTGAGTACATACTGTCCCGCTATAATTATTTCTGAGAATTAATATGTACTTTATTTAATACGGAATTGTTTCGTATTATGTAATTTCGTGTAATTACGCATCAATTACGTGAAACTAGACTTTCTTTCGTAAACACAATAAACGAGAAATTACGTGTAATGCTCCTGCGTAAGTGAAAGAAAGTGCTTCGTGTAATTACGCGTAACGTAATTACAACTGGAAACCCTATTTGAGATAATAAAAAGTGCAAATTTTTTTCTGAAAACTTTGCAGAACAGGTGTTTATTTTTCATAATTGTTCCAAGGGACGTTAAGTACCATTACCTTCCTCTGTTGGGGGAATAATAGGTCAGTAATGTTGGTCAAAAGGCAGTAAAATCATTAATTCTATTTTGCAGTTTACTTTTGATGTTGAATGTGGACCTAATGCAAAATGGAGACCAATCCCATCATATGGAGGAAATCTAATGCCCAACTGTATTGGTGAGCTTAAGTTTTTTAAACAAACCCTGTTTTGGCCCAGTTTTAATGTAATCTTAGAATTTAAATGATTATTTTCTTATCTTCCAGCCATAAACTGTACTGAGCCTCCTTTCCTGCCTCCTCAGAATGACCTGGGAAGATATAACTGGACAGCAGTTGATGGAAAGGATCCTAGACCCTATGCTTCAGCTATAAGATATTTTTGTCCAGCGTAAATATTCTTTTACTTTTATGAATATCAATCTTTTGCTTATGAATCTTTTTAATTTATTTAGATTAAAAAGAAAATTCTAAGGTTATCTGATTTCTGTGAGTTTGAAGAATTCTAAGAAAAAATGTTATTTTGTAAGAGAAAACAAAATTAAGAATAACCTAATTTTTGTTTCAGTATTGGTTGGGGATACCCTAGCAATGGGTTAAATGAGGCTTTAGTGTTCTGTCGGAGGGATGGAACTTGGAGTAACAGATTTAATATTGAAAGATGCATCAGTAAGTTCTTTAACAATTACTATATCTGGAATTATTAGTTATTACTATTCTCACAAGAATTGAACTGACAGGAATTTCAAAGAAACAATTTAGAAATTTATGCTCTTACCACCCATGATTCCCCTAACAGAGTTACGTTAATTTACCTAATGTCCCTTGGGACAATAAAGTACAAAAACAACCAACTCTGCAAAGTGTTTATGAAAAAAACTTGTGCATTTTCATCTAAGAATAAATAAATAAAAATAAATACTTTTTGGAAAATTGCAAATTTTACTTATCACAGGATCTTTCAACCAATTGATCTTGGGAACCCTTGGTAAAGTAAAATTCCCCTTAATTTCCCTCTACATATAAAGTAGTTTTATATAATCATTTTCCTAATCTTGCCTATGTACCCAGTTAATATTTTAGAACTACCATGTCCAGCCCAACCCCCTCCAATCCTACCTGGAGAAGGAACAGAGAGAAATTACAACCCTGAGATTACAACCTATCGTTGCCCAAATGGATACCAGTGGGAAGGAGGTATTATTAAAAGCAGATCGGTGTACATTATGCTTTTGATATCTTAAATTTATGTTCAAAATCCACTAATCAAATCAGAATTACAATTATGTTGTTATTGTTTATGATAACTAATGATTGGTATGAATAGTTCTTAGGCAGGGCAGCCATTAGTTGATCAGTTTTAGACACATGGCAGTTGAGCTGAGAATGCACTCAATGCATGTATTGTAGAGAACATTTTTTAAAATCATTTGATACCTATTAGACGTATATTGTATAATTGCTAAGTGAGCTAAGTAGTTCTGCAAAATTGATCTTTAAAATCCTCTTTAAAATAATCAAAAAGTATTTTGGAAAAATGTTGTAAAATATTTATTTTTGCTTTTGTCAAATATTAACATGCATCCATTTTTCAAGGGCGTTTTAAATAAATGTTATTGATCTGTTGCTAAATCAATGCAAAAATTACAGACTATTTATGTTTGTTTTCTAAGAGTGCCCTCAAATGCCAAGAAAAAATAAATTGCAAAACTTGTTCACAACTATGAAGAATTCTAGTGTGAACCCTGTGGCGAGCGGGGGAGGGGTTAAAAACACCCCCACCTTAATTGTGATAGGGTTAATATATTGTGAATACTTTAGGACAGTTTCCTTATCTCGAGGTGGAGTGCTTAAACAAAAAATGGCAGCCAAGCACACTTCCTTCTTGTGTGAAGAGGTCTTGTGGACTTGATGTACCAACTCCTTGGATGGTAAGTCAATGACTTAGCCAATCAGAGTTTAGTAACTTAATAGAGCTTTTAAGCTACTTTAAAAGAGGTTTTCATCTTCAATTGGTTCAATTTGAAAATCTCAGTAAGAGAAACTGAAATAAGGTGTAGATAGGGCCCCCAAGTAACAATTTTGCTGAAAATCCGCAGAAATTCCCAGGAATCATTCCTGGAAATCTGTGGAAATTCCCAGGAATCTTTCACAGAAAAATCCGGTGAAAATGTCAACAGCTTTTCCCAGGAATTTCTCGTTACCAATTCCGAGGAACCAGGTCCGAGGAATTTCTTGTAACCCATTCCGAGGAAATTCTCGTAACTCTATCCAAGGAATTTCTTGTAACCAATTTTAGGGAATTTCTTGTTACCAATTCTTCAGAAAAACCAGAGAAAATTTGAAGCAAAAAGGTCTTCAGAATCAATTCCTGGGAATTTCCCTGGAACTATTCCCAAGATTTTCTCAAGAATTCCTCAGGAATATCTTGAAATATTAACTAACAAAAGTAGTGAATAACTTAACAACTATATTGCCCCTCCAACTTTTTAGAAATATAAACATCTTCTTAAGTCAGAATGTTATAGTTGTTTTTGATCTTACTGAAGTTGTCATGTATTTTGTTTATTCAGACAAGTGAATTGTCAAGAAAAAATTTTAAAAAATGTTTTAAAGTTTTAAATATTTTTTTAAAAGATGGTTCTGAAGTAAATTATCATTTTTTATCAATAAGGATACAAAGAAAAAAAGATTTAGTTTGAATCAAAGAAAGTCACCATGGTTGGTGAATCTGGGGAAATTCCTTACTTTTGTTACTTGGGGGATGTTAACGTTTTCATTTTTTTGAAAAACGATTGTTTAGTTGTGAAAACGACGACGAAAAATCAAAAACGAAACGATCGATTTTAAAAACGATCATTTTTTCAAAAAGTTTGTTTTTTTAAAAATGGTCGTTTTTAAAATGATCGCTTTGAAAAATGATCGTTTTGTTAACAATCGTTTTTGATGATCATTTGTTAACCATCGTTAACGACAACCTTTGTTAACAATCGTTAACAATGACCCTTGGTTAATGATCGTTTGTTAAGAAAGAGAGGAAACTGACCTGAAGGGCATCTGTACTTATCATTGAGTAGTTTTTAAGAAAATATCAAGAAGTTTTAGCTACCCCACAACTTTAAACTTCATTCAATAAAGCCCCATGTATTTTTTTTTCTTCAAAAATGATCATTCTCCGAAAACAACCGTTTTTATAAAGTTTGTTGTTTCGTTAACGATCGTTAATGACAACCCTTCATTAACGATCATTAATGACGACCCTAGGTTAATGATCGTTAAGGACAAACTTTTGTTAATGATCAATAACATAATTTCCAATAAATATTTATTTTTCAAAAACGATAGTTTTTGAAAAAAATAATCATATAAAAAAACGGTCACAAATCGTTTTTAAAAAAATGCCTTTTTTCTAAAACGATAGTTACTTGTTTTCTAAAAGTTCAAAACGAGTGGGTCGTTTTTAAAAATTATCGTTTCTTTTCCAAAAACGAAACAATCGTTTTTAAAAACAATTGAAAAACAAAACAAAAAAGATTGTTCAACGATCCTTTAAAAAACGATTAACAACTGTTAGTGCAGATGAATTATTTGTTGACCTTTAATTAGGTTAAAGTAGAGAAATGTTTAGAATATGGATGTTTCTTGGCCGTATAAGAAGAGATCTCTGGGGGATAGCCTTCTGTATGATTGCCCAAGTAGCTTAATGGTTTGGCATACCAATCAAACTACACAAAAGGTAATTTCTTATGATAACAGAAAAAAATAGTCATTCAAATCAAATTATTGTAATTGACATAATTTCAAAATATAGGTTTTTTTTTTGGGGGGGGGGAAATAATTATGTATTTTATTTTATTTGATATTTAATTTCTTATCTGTACCAAAGTACTGTAACAGTCAGTGAGGTTTGAAATTATTCAAGGTTACCTGTATTTGGCACAAACCAACGGATTCAATGATATGGTGGCCGCCTCAAGTTCATAATTGCAACCGTAAGTTGTTTATACTAATTTTGAATCAAAAATTTTGATTTAGACATCAATTTTAACGTTTAGGGATGTAACAATAAACTTTGATCTATAGTACGCTGACCTAACTTATAGGAAGGAATTTTAAAAAAGGAAAAAAATATATTATTTTTATTACTCTTTTTTTTCTTTATTTCACTTGACATCTAATGTCATGATTTTTACTATGTGATACCGAGCCAAGATGGCGTCCTCTGGTGATCTGAACAAAACTAAATTGTTGGTAAGTTATAGATCTTTCTGCAACCAATCCCTTAAATGGAAACCCTTGCACCGAAATGATTAAACGTTTTGAGCCTAGATAGTTAAACTTTAGAGCTTTCAGCTCCTGAGGGTTTTAAAGTTTAACTAGTTATGTGTGCATGCGAATAATAATAATAATAATAATAAACATTTTGTTTCTTTTTTTAGCATAGGTTGAACTACAAACAAAAGGTAGGTGTTTTTTGAAAGCCATTTTTTCTGAAAAATGATTTTCATAAACAAAAAGAACTAGAGAATTTATAACATTTATTTTAAAAATGCGATTTTACATCCCTGGAATGGGTTTTAAGGATGGGATATAAATCTTTATACAACTGCTAAACTTACCTTAATTTATTTCTTTCGTTTGTTGTATGATTTTAATATGTGAAAAATCTAGACCATGATTTAGTCTTATTAAAAGTTTTATAATTCTTTTTTTTTTATTAAAATTACAGCTTTACATGTTAAAATATTACTTAATACAAAAGTCCAAAAAAGAATTTTCTAAAACTAACTTTTTCAAACTTTTCTTTCTATGTTTTTATGCTGAAGTAGTTTTTCTGTCAAGTCTATAAAAGACTTTAATTAATGTATTTTAATAAAATGTATATGCTGAAGTAGTTTTCTGTCAAGTCTATAAAAGACTTTAATTAATTTATTTTGATAAAATGTATATGCTGAAATAAATATTTGTCAACATTTATTTTACTAAAAACAATAGAGAGATCGACTTTACGCGTAATTTTAACTGATCTTGAATTTATAGATTGCCATGCTCTTTTCACAACGGAGCCCTGAAAAGTTTTTTACTAATCAAGAATGAATGAATTGTATCTTTATGAAAAGATGGCTATTTCTAATTGAGGGTTCTCTATAAAAGTGAAGAATTTATTGCTACAGAAACAATTGAGGAAATTTTCAGAACGAAACACTTTTCAAGCAAGAAATATGCTTCATGTGTTTATGGTTTTTAAAATTTATAGTAGAGATGACGGCCTCATGACTCATGTGTTTATGGTTGTGTAAATTTACCGTAGAGATGATGGCCTCATGACTCATGTGTTTATGGTTATGTAAATTTACCGTAGAATTGATTGCCTCATTACTCATGTGTTATGGTTGTGTAAATTTACCGTAGAGATGATGGCCTCATGACTCATGTGTTATGGTTGTGTAATTTTACCATAGAGATGATGGCCTCATGACTCATGTGTTTATGGTTGTGTAAATTTACCGTTGAGATGATGGCCTCATGACACATGTGTTTATGGTTGCGTAAATTTACCGCAGAGATGATGGGCTCATGCCTCATGTGTTTATGGTTGTGTAAATTTACCGTAGAAATGAAGGCCTCATGACTCATGTGTTATGGTTGTGTAATTTTACCAAAGAGATGATGGCCTCATGACTCATGTGTTTATGGTTGTGTAAATTTACTGTTGAGATGATGGCCTCATGACTCATGTGTTTATGGTTGCGTAAATTTACAGTAGAGATGATGGCCTCATGCCTCATGTGTTTATGGTTGTGTAAATTTACCGTAGAGATGATGGCCTCATGACTCATGTGTTATGGTTGTGTACTTTAAAGGGATTATGGTTGTGTAAATTAAAAGGACTTTATGGTTGTGTAAATTAAAGGGACTATGGTTTTGTTAATTAAAGGGACTGTATAAGCGTGATTTCAAGTTACCCTTCTTGCAAAGATGGCAATGCCTGGTTTTCAACAGTAGCCTTGAAACATTAATCTGATTTTGAAATGTGGAAACTAATGTAGTTTTTCTGACTCGAAAGCGTTTTTTTGTGGTTGCTTATAAGAAAGAAATGCGCCGGCAAGTCATTTTAACAGAGAAGCCGCATTGAAAAAACGGTTTAAATTAACAAAATCATGGATATCTAACTCATACTTAATCAGCTACAAAGTGTTTAACCTTCTATAGTGATTGAGCTTTTTTTTCTAATATAGATGGGGGGGGGGGTTAAGGGGAGTGTGTCACATACCCTTAGCACAACCTTTCAAGGCCTGCACTGCTCATTAAAAAAATAAACCACTCACTTAAATGGTTAGGGTGCTAGGGAGGGTTTAAAAAAAGTTCAAAAAGCACGCAAGAAAAATGTAACATATGACACATGTTTGAACATCTCTTATTGACTAATTTGGATTTTTTGGAACACTGACGAGCCGCTCTCCAGCTCCACCCTTCCCATGCATATCTCTAGATCTATAAGCCTAAAATTGGGCTCATTGAATTGGAAACTGTATTTAAATATCAAAATGTTTTCAATCTTGAAAATCCGATAACAAACAGGTCGGTAGACCCTCAAACAAAAATGTGCAAACGGAGATTATTATTATTTTAAAGCATATAGCAAATTTTCAATTTTTTAAAAAGTTATTTCAATATTTTTTCACGCATTCCTCGTTATTTTGAAAAAAACGTAAATCTGGATACAAATTAATCCTGTATTTTGGTATTTTGTTTTAACTAATTTTTATTATGCATATTTCATATTATTGCCTTTTCTTTCTTTGATTTTTCATTTTTTTTATATGTTTAAGGCCGAATTATTTGAGCCGCGGCTTAAATTTGAGATGCGACTCAAATACGGTTTGTTCCACTTAAAATTGTATTCAATGATTCAAGATTTAAACCGGTTTTTGGCGGATTTGTGACGCTGCTCAAATGGAATAAATTCGGACTCTGTTCAGTCATTGAATCTCGATGATCTATGTTATTATCTTTCTGGACTTAAAATAATAATGCGTAAAAAATGTTCAATAATTTTTTTAAAAAAATTATTCACATATCTAAAATAAAAAAGTTTAAAAAAATATTTCTTTCCAACAAAAATGCGCCAAATAAAATTTTTTCTTTTCATTAATGACAAAATATTAAAAATGGTATTTCAAGATTATCCTCTAAGATAATTTTGCATGAAAAAATAAAATTTAGGTTTAAAATTCATGACATTATTTTTTTTCAAGTAGGGTGTCTTATATGTCACTTAATTATGGTCGAACTCGAAGGCCGGTAATATGTGAGTATTAAAAAACTTTATTAAACAATCCCGTTGGGAAAGGCTAATTATATGCAATATCACAAATGGAGACAAATTTAAAAAGTGTTACGGATTGGCCAGCAATTGTAGTTTACAAACTAACCATTATGCACTCAATGTTATAAATAAAAATACTTAAAAGACAATGGTATTTTGAATAAAAAATCAATTTTTTAGCATATGTTTCCCCCCAGGCACGTACTCGTGGGTTTCCTAAAAAAATCAGCCAATTAAGTCCAGTCTAATGACCAGATATAGCTAACTATAATTATTATTATATTATATACTCTATATATATATATATATATATATATATATACAGGGTGAGAGGTACTACAGTTTATACTAAAGTACATTTATGTATAAATATACAGGTACTACAGTTTATACTAAAGTACATTTATGNGGGGAATACTGGATACAGGATAATGGATGATACGGAGAATACAGTATACAGGATAATGGATGATATGGGGAATACAGTATGCAGGATAATGGATGATATGGGGAAGACTGAATACATGATAATTGTTGATAAAGGAAATACTGGCTGTAGGAAAAAGTGGTGAAATCAGCTGAGGTACAGGATATTTAATTAGATTGAGAAAATGCGGGAAATTGGAGCAAGGTTACTATGAAATCTCAAATAATAAAGTTGGGAGGCTGGGCTCCATTTGTCTCCATTTGATGACTATCGATACCCCTTAATTTATAATCCTATGCGCGGAATACCAATTTCCTTTTCAGCATAGCTAATACACATGTTAAAGTACAAAATTATTTTATCTTTGTTCAATAATAAAGCGGCTATGAAGTCACATATTGTTTGGATAAAATTTCGACATGTTGTTCTTCTGGACTTTTCAATCTCATTGTAGCAAAAGTTTATGCCTATTGCAATCTAAGTTGTTTACTGTTTATAGTAATAACGCTAATCCTGTATTGCAATTAACTCATATCAAGTTCGTAGATAAATATACAACTCCGTCATACCCATATTGTGATTGTTTATTATGCATATATACCTCAGTTGATTGAGACTCTGCTTTGATTACCGCAAGTGCTCGTTGAAACATAGCTGAGATCTTGCTAATCGGTTTGGCATTGATTCGAGCTAGTTTCTGGTTGACATCGATAGCTTATAAGATTGTGCCTAGATGTCTTGGCATTGATCGATACAGCTTGTTTGATAGCTAGGCTTGTGTCCTTGTGTGGCATTTAGAGCGTGTGTTAGTAGCTGTATTTTGATAGCTAGGCACAATGAATGTAAGCCTTACATTCTTGGCTAGGCACGTGTCCCTATGTGGCATTTAGAGCGTGTATTAGTAGCTGTATTTTGATAGCTAAGCTTGTGTCCCTGTGTGGCATTTAGAGCGTGTATTAGTAGCCCTATTTTGATAGCTAGGCGTTTGTCCCTGTGTGGCATTTAGAGCGTGTATTAGTAGCTGTATTTTGATAGCTAAGTTTGTGTCCCTGTGTGGCATTTAGAGCGTGTATTAGTAGCTGTATTTTGATGGCTAAGTTTGTGTCCCTCTGTGAGGCATTTAGAGCGTGTATTAGTAGCTCTATTTTTATAGCTAAGTTAGTTTCCCTGTGTGGCATTTAGAGCGTGTATTAGTAGCTGTATTTTGATGGCTAATCTTGTGTCCTTTACTACATCCTTACTTTTGATATATTGTTGATAATGTGAGTCTAAGTATCAAGTAGGTGTATACTTATTCTCAATTATAATTTAATATTTATGAAAAAAATAATAAATTGAGCTGAAAACCCTCCATTAATGTATAAAAGTACTATTCAAAAAACACATCATTACTTTTGATATATTGTTGATAATGTGAGTCTAAGTATCAAGTATGTTCATACTTATTCTCAATTATAATTTAATATTTATGAAAAAAAATAATAAATTGAGCTGAAACCCCTCCATTAATGTATATAAGTACTACTCGAAAAACACAAATTAACTTTTTATAAATGACAAATTGACATGCTCGGTATAAATAAATTAAGAGTTTTTCCAAGCTTTTTATGAAAATCTATTTTAACAAGAGGTTGAGTGATGTTTTGGTAAGCGCGCGATAGAGAAGTCAACGTTTTGATTTTTCTAGATTTTAGCTTTCGTTACGATAGTGCTCATCAAAAGTATTAACGTTTAAAATGTTACGTTGCACATTATGAAATTTTATTGCAAAGAGTAACGTTACGTAATGAATTCTGCACTTGAATACCTTATACAACGTTAAGCTTTAATGTTGTGAAAAAACAGTAAGCTCCGTTACGCTTTTGCATTTCCCGTTTTAAAAAACTTTCCCAACGTTGCGTTAAAGCTTATGTAATGAAACCACAATTTTTTAATGTTCCACTTTCATGCAAGGTAAATATTTTCAGAGACCTTACGAGTTACGTTACACTTTCACTTGGTTTAAGATCTAAAAGATGGCAAACGTTTTGCTTTAATAAAACGTCATTGGGGCATAGTTCTGTACGTTACAATGCATTTCAGTGCAAAGAATATTTTTATCCTCTAACGTTAACGTTGGGTATGAGCTCCTATAACGTTAACGTTTAACGTTCACGTTATATAGAATATATCCAAACGTTACACATTATTGTAGCGTAACGTACAAAAACATACATTTTACGTTACGTTACACTATCGTTGACATCTCTAGCGCGTGATGCTACAGGGTGTAAAACATCATATTAGATCGTCAATCGGTCTAAATTACGATTTTCGGGACTAATCAGAAAATTTAAGAAAAATGAATCATTTTGAAAAATTGAATAAGGTTAATATAAGAATTTTCTTGCGGAAAATTATAGGTTTTTCTAGTATTATGGGTTTATTTTGGCGTTGAAACTTGGAGATAATCTAATATGATATGGGACGCTCTGTATAATACTAGAGTAGCTTGGCCGGGAACCAAGCATTGCCTGGAAGCTAAAAGTCAACTTCCATTCAAATTTAGACTTTTCCAATCCAAACTAAAGATATTAAACTCACAGATGGGATAGTGAGTTACTAAAATCAAAATTTAAGTCCATTCAGCCAAGGGGTTTTTGAGTTATACTTGCACACAAAAAAACAAACACCGAAACAAAGATTACTACTTAATGTATATAGATTTAAAGTTTTAAAGTTTCAAGTTTTCCAAAAATCGTTTTCTAGGAAATTACCGAAAAGTCTGTACAGAGGTGGAAAGAAGTAGAATATACATTGCTGATTACAAATCCCATTTTGTGAAACCATTGTCAGTTAAATTTTCGGTTTATTCGACTTATTTTATAATTTATAACAAAACAACATGTCAAATATTTACAAAATGTATAGTTTTCAATCAATAATCCTCTATAAGAGAAATAAGAAAATATTTATAAAATGCTGAAGAAGTAAAATACGGGTGACTCCATGCACAAACATATATCTCTATATATAGTACAACATAAATTCCATATGTACAGACAACGACGATTGAAAACCATGTTTTGAATCCAATTAAAAGAAAATTGTTGTCTTTTCATTTTGGTTTGTTGGTCAAGGAATTAGAAAGTTTACTGAAAAAAATTCAGTCTTTACCACAAACTCAAAGATTCTAATTCTTACATGGGTTACAAAGATATAGGGATAAGAAAATCTGATTTAACTAATACATAGGGTCTAGTGTGTATTTATGTAGGATTTTTAGAACAAAATGAAAAAAAAAAAATTCATTCACGTTTCCAGATGTAAACCTCCGAATTTTCAGAGTTGTAAACTTAAACAATTTATTTTTAACTAAAATGTTAAAGTTCTCGCGGTCATATACTTAATTCCCTATCAGTCTTGTTTCTCTAGAATATCCTCCATATTTTTTTCTGGAAAACTTTTTTTCTTGTTAGGTGAAGCAGAAATCTTGTTTGGTGAAGAAGAAATCTTATTTGGAGAAGAGGACATCTTATTTGGAGATGAGGACATCTTGTTTGGAGAAGGGGGTATAGACTTCTCGTTCTGCTCACCACTGCTGTGTCCTTCATAGTCCTAAATTATTAAATTTCAAATATTTTAAATATTTTTGTCGCAACTACACAATTGAACACGCTTGTCACCAGGCTTGATCAAGCAGAAGAGAGTCAAAGAAATTCAAAATATCCGAGAATAAAAATATTATAAACGCAAACCTTGTTGAATAAGTATGGATATAATGATGTTCTTCTGCTTTGTGATCCAGCCACATATCCATCCACTTCCTCATCCTCAGTAGTATCATTGCAATCCTTAATTATGCAATTAGTAGTATCATTTCAATCCTTAATTATATACTTAGTAGTATCATTGCAATTCTTGATTATACAATCAGTAATATCATTGAAATCCTTAATTATACACTCAGTAGTATCATTGCAATTCTTAATTATACAATCAGTAGTATCATTGAAATCCTTAATTATACACTCAGTAATATCATTGCAATTCTTGATTATACACTCAGTAGTATCATTGCAATCCTTAATTATACACTCAGTAGTATCATTGCTATTTTTGATTATACAATCAGTAGTATCATTGTAATCCTTAATTATACAATCATTAGTATCATTGAAATCCTTAATTATACACTCAGTAGTATTATTGCAATTCTTAATTATACAATCAGTAGTATCATTGAAATCCTTAATTATACACTCAGTAATATCATTGCAATTCTTGATTATACACTCAGTAGTATCATTGCAATCCTTAATTATACACTCAGTAGTATCATTGCAATCTATAATTATACTCTCAGTAGTATCATTGTAATCCTTAATTATACATTCAGTAGTAGCATTAAAATCCTTAATTATACACTCAGTAGTATTATCTAAATCCTTAATTATACACTCGTTGTATCCTTTGTGCAAAAAATTGCATAAAAATAAATTCCGCCAAAAAAACTGCGCAAATATTGCAAGAAAAATGTTTTTAAAAAATTGCTTAAATTGCAAAGGAAGAAAACTAAACGGCACATTGGAAAAAGTTAGACTTGTTTAGATCTACAAGAATATAATCAACTTATAACAACTTATGATAATGGTAACTAGTTAGCTTTACATGCATTAAAAACTGTATTGCAGCTGCAGGTACAAATAGGAGTTTTTTTCTACAGGGAGGTTTCTACGTGGTCGTACATCAGTGTATATATTATCTTTGTATACATCTACCTGGGCACACATCTACAGTATATACTATCTTTGGATATATCTACCTGGACACACATCCAGAGTATATATTATCTTTGGATATATCTACCTGGGCACACATCTATAGTATTTATTATCTTTGGATATATCTACCTGGACACACATCTAGATTATGTATTATCTTTGGATATATCTACCTGGGCACACATCTAGAGTATATATATTATATTTAGATATATCTACCTGGGCATACATCTCGAGTATACATTATCTTTAAATATATCTACCTGGAGACACATCTAGATTATATATTATCTTTGTATATATATCTACCTAAGCACACATCTAGAGTATATATTATCTTTAGATATATCTACCTGGGCACACATCTAGAGTATATTTTATCTTTAGATATATCTACCTGGGCATACATCTAGAGTATTCATTATCTTTGGATATATCTACCTGGGCACACATCTAGAGTATTTATTATCTTTGGATATATTTACCTGGACACACATCTAGAGTATTTATTATCTTTGGATATATCTACCTGGACACACATCTAGAGTATATATTATCTTTGGATATATCTACCTGGACTTACATCTAGAGTATATATTATCTTCGTATAAAACTACCTGATGCTGAGCAATAAACTTATTTAAATCATTGATAGACATCTGAGACATTCTTCCAGAATGGTTCTAAACAAGACAAATAATTTTAAAAGCCTTGTTTATTAATTTAGTTGTTGATAAATGATTTGGTGATGCAAATGAAACTATACCATGCATAATTTATTTTTTCAGAACATCTAATCTCAAAATTAAATTAATTAACCAATTTTTAATTAACTGCAATAAAACGAGATTACATTTTTGAAACAAAAGAATGTTCATTTTATAACTTTTTATTTATAGCTTATTCTTTTTTTGTTCTTTATTTAATCAATTAAAAAAAATTGTCGATACGGGGAGATTCCGCTAAAACAGTATTTGGCTTTTCAGCCCGGTTGCTGGGGCGCGGTAAATATTTTATCACTTACATGTGATTTTGACATTGTATGATTTCATATTGTTTAAAAATTCCTTGTTTCGTGTATGATTATAAAATGTCAAAACTTATAAATGTAAATAATTTAAATTATGTTTTTAAATATTTTGTTTTGTACCTGTTGTTTTTTCATATGCGAAGGTAAAAATGACGGAACTTGAAGACTACCTCTTCTTGAAGGTAAAACCTCAACAAAAAAATCGGCAGTTGCTCATATAAAAAACATTCCTTTATAAAAAGTTGTTTTTTTCCGTATGCACCAATTTTCATCGAATCCCGTTGGGTATATCATTTAATCCCCCTCTGGAGTTAAAATTTCCATTGTGGTTCTAATTTTTCTGATATAATTTTTAGAACATTCGCGAAAAATGAAAGGGGGTATAGGTCACTATAGGCTTAATTCGATAAAAAAGCGCGTTTGATCGCTACTAATCTTACTTTTATCTGTTGTGTCAATTAGGAGAAAATTGTTAAAACGACTCACACCGAAGAATTTAGTGTCCATATAAATTCAGAAAGATGCAACATTCAACTCGGATCGTAAACAAATCAATTTAATTCCAAACAAATCATTCAGATATTACAAACAATAGTCATCGATTAATTTTCGAAGCATTCGTAAAAAGTTGATATTTCATAATATTTTGTATTTTTCATAATCTGAGAGTTACTTTTGAAAACATTTATTCCTGTTTCGAGGATTTTTGATAATGAAGACGACATTTTCATATTTTCCAAGAATGTTCGAAAACCCAGCGCCAGCGAATATTATTTAATTAATTTGATTTGTTTACGATCCGAGTTGAATGTTGCATCTTTCCGAATTTGTATGGACGCTGCGTTCTCCCTTTAACTTTATTCAATTTTAGACTTTTTTTGATTGAAAGAATTTTGTTTACCCTTCTTTGTTTGAGATCATGGTAGTCTTTAGCCGAGATCATTGGAGTAATATGATCTGGTGATACTTGATTCATACCACAGCAATCCACAGCATACACACCCTACACAGCATTGGAGTAATATGATCTGGTGATACTTATTCATACCACAGCAATCCACAGCAAACACACCCTATACCTTAGATAAATAACAATACAGATATAACACTTTATGTTTTCTTTTTATTATTATGATTTCTTCACAATAACCGTGAGGTAGAGGCCCAAGGGAGTACGCGCATGCTCTCTCTCTCTCTGTCTTGTAATTTTGTAATTCAACGTTGCCTGTGCGGAAACTATAGATTTGGAAACTCTTACAAACCACGGGAATGTTTGAAAATTATAAATTGAGAAGTTGTCTTATTTAGAGAAAGTTTAGTTTTTCTGGCAACGCTGGGTTCCGAAATATATGTATAAAGTCGTCGTTTATGAAGACGACTTTCAGTTTTGATTGATTTCTTTCATTTCTTTTCATTTCTTTTATAACAGAAACAAAGAGAAGCTGTCAAATAACAGATTTTAATAACGTTTACTTATAAACATTTAATTTAAAAAATCTTGTTTGAAGTCGTATTGAAAGTATTGATATAAACGCCGACCTTTTTATAAAAATAAGTTACAGGTTGTCCCAAAAACATGGGAATTCAGTGACAAATCCGACATCGTCTTTGTTATGAATTAGCTTTGTAATACCTAACTTCATAAGCCATAATATTATTATGTCTGGTAGACTTTATTTTATGAAAAGAGTAAAAGACTGTGAAGATGTGTCTATAATGTCTCCGCAAGATGAACAGTTAAGACGGCAAAGTTTACTCTGTTTGTATACTGCAATTTTCTTGTTTTTACTAAGTACAACTGTATCCAGTCAAAACATAAGCAAACAAAATGTGAACATAGCAGACGAAACTCTTACAGATAACAGCTTTCTCAGTAGGTATCACTATACTAAATCAAAGAATTATTTGAAAAGACGATATCGAATTCGTCACTGAATTCCCATGTTTATTGGGACACCCTGTATATCTTTGTGTCTTCTTGTTTGTCTGAGCAAAACTTATGAGATAGTGAACGATTATTGGGTCTCATAATTGTTATGCGGGAATTTGCTACACATACAATAACCATACAAATTTAAAAGTTACCACAGCGGATATCGAGATTTGACCTATAAACGCAAAATTTCATTTAAAAAACTAAGCACTTTAAACAAACTAAGAAATGAGATGACGCCAAGGCCTAAGGTTACCTTATGCTTGAGATAGCTAACCATACTGTCAAATCTGTGCCCCCAGAGAATCTCACTTGGTATAAAGGAAGATCTGGCCTAAGATGCAAAGCATAAATTATTATAAAGGAACTGTAAGCGCAATCTTGAAGTGAGCCCCTGAATTCAAAGATGGCAACAGCATTAGCATTTAAAGGGAGTGACCGGCTATGTAAGGTATTTGAACTGAGTATGCAGTGTTGTGGAAAACTTCTTTCGGATTCATTTTCGGCATATTAAACTTTTTAAAGATCTGTACACCCTGAACTAACGAGAGAGAGAAGCATTAGGTTTCTTTTATTTGAAATCATACGTTTTTTCGTCTATAACTCATCAGTCTTTAGACCTAAAGATTTGTTCATGTTATAATTTTTCATTCAAAATGTATATGCCAACAAAAAAATATTTAAGATAAAAGGCTATAAAATTATGTAAAAAGGGTCCAATTGTGATCGAAAGTCACAGTTTTCTGAAATATTGACAGAACCGTTAAATCCACGTGTGTAAATCCTGAGTTTGAGCGCAAATTCGACGTTCAAAATTCCTACTTTGGCCGGGTGGATACGTTTTGAGAATCAGTTTTTTTAAATTATTAAATAACGACGACATAATATGAAAAAAAAATTCTACAGTAAAGTAGTTTTTTAGGAACAGGTTGAGAAAATAAAAATTAATCTTACCATCGAAAAAAAGTAATATTGTTTAATTATTTGTTTCTATTTTTTCATTATTATGGTTTCTCATTATTCAAAGATTTTCCGCAGATTTTCTAGAATTATTATTGAAAAGACGGCATTTGACGAATTTGAAGAAATCTGCGAATAAATTCAAAGAGAACAAGAAATTCAATATAATAATGAAAACGAAATAATTGATTCTAGCATTGATTTATAGACAACTTTCTTTTGAGAAATATGTTCATAACATCCTAATTAGATTACTGTATCAATTTTACTTTATTTTTCGTCGTCGTTATTTAATAATTTAAAAAAAACCCTATTCTGAAAACGGACACTTCATTTTTACTATAAAGGAAACAAACAATCTAAACAAGTCTAAAGAGATTTTCAAAATTCAAATTTAATTATTAATTTTCTGCGATAGATATGATTATTATTTATTAAAGTAAAAAATAGTTTGGGAATCAAATGTTAGATATTACAAGTGTTTCTATATATTTAAAAGGATTAGTGTGACATCCTTGATCAGTGAAAGATATAAAAGGTACTGTTGGAGTTTAGAGGATCATTTTAGCTTGAGGATGAATTTCAAAATTGGTTTAAATATTTAATATCAGTGTATGGTTCTCAGGTTACCAATTTTTTTACAAAGTTTCTTGCTATACCTGTGTATTGTTCCCAGTAGGTTCAACAATAGCCTCTAGGATCACAATAATCTCAAACTTGTAGCTCAGGAGTTCCTTGGGGCCCATCTTCCACAGGGGGGAGTTCTGATCAATCCTGAGAAGGACAATTTTAAATCGTCAATAAAACAACTACTTTGTTAACCACGCTAGTGCATTGAGAACCAATAAGATGGTGAACCACCAATGGAAGAATAAGTTAAACCATGGTCGAACCCAAGGATTTAATGCAAGGAAAGTTAATTGCAGTTGCGTGTACTCTGCGTACATATTGAAACTGGGCGGAATTTGTAAACAAGAATAGATGCATGCAGTGTTCGTTTAGTATTCGAGTAGGTTGAAAGCATTCAATTTTGATAATTTTGATAATAGTTTCCTATGACAAGAATATTTCATCAATTTTTTTATGTGAAAGATGGATCCCATGTCAGGCTTCAACATCCTTCTTGTGTTTACATTACCGCCCAGAGACAGTACATTACAGTACAAAAGATGCGTACACCTCTGAAATAACTTTCCTTGCATTACAACCTTGGGTCGAACCAAGGTCAACTGCCTCTCGTAAAAATTTTCATCAAACTAACGATTCCGATGAATTGAATGTATTCTACAGTACGAACCAGAAAATTGTGGAAAAGAAAGACGCATTACAGAAATATTAAAGTGTAGTTTTAATGTTGTTACAAAGCAAATGGGTATACTAGTGACTTATTAAATCACTTAGGAAGTGAAATGGGTCTGTTTACACTGTACAACTGCTATGTTATAACTTATGTCTAAAAGTCGTCCTTCTATTCCAGAGTTTTATCGTTTTCTCTGTACAGAAAACTTAGTGTGTATATATTTCAAAAATGCTGTGTAAAAATCCGTGAAAATTAAGTGTACGCTTGCGTACTCTGTAAACTCAACACAAATGACGTATTCCTGGAAGATCAAGAATATTCTAATTTGAATTTGAATAATTAAGATAAATAAGGAAACATCGTTCTTCCTTGATCTGTTAACCCTAAGCAGGCGGCCCGTTTTTGATTGGGTTAAAGACACATAAGACATCTATCTGATGCTCCTGTCTCGAGAAATTTAGTTTGTTTGTCCAAGCACTCTCATTTTTGACACTATCACCGTAAAGTGTTGTGACTTTTAATGAGAAGAAATTTAAAGGATTGTTTTAAGCTTTTTTTGTTAATGCATAGGGTAGGGTAAAGGGCGGAAAAAGTCTGGTCTGAGTACAAAAAAAAAAGTTTTGTGACTAAAGCTATAGATCTAAAGATTGAATTTTTTAAAGCCCTTTAAAAA